TCTAAACTGTGCCAAACATTCGTCGTCGCTAAAATTTTTGAAGTCGAATTAAGAGAACGAGTCGTACGGAAGTTCTAGGTTTTGTGATTCGTAGCTAACGTAAAGCAACAAAAATTCGTCATCACTAATGTAACTTATCTCCTGACAAAAAGGGAGTAACTCTCTTGCTTCCTTGAAGGATGACATTTTTGCCAATAAAATGACTGCACAACAACGCACTGAGCTCTGAGCTTTTCGCCGTAGTGTCGCTGTAACTTAACGATTCGTATTTGGAGGGAAATACGCCGTACTCACCCTAGTCTATCGCGGCCGAGGTAGCCGTAGCACAGAGTCACCATACCGTATCTAAAAGTCCCTTTTTACATCGGGCACAAAACTAAAAGTCTTAGAGATATTTTTAGATGACATGGTTCAAAGATACACGAAGAAGCTGATATCAAGATTGAGGAAAATTACTCTTAATTAATAAAGATGTATTTAAATTGAATTTCCCGCATTTCTTGCTATGTACTGACTGAGTTTGCGCGTCTGGATTGCGTTATTAGGCTGATTTAGCAACAGGACGGGAACGTCAGTCGACGACGGCGCGCGCAAATCAAACAACTGGCTTGACCAATGGCAGAGCGGCAAATTTAGCACCGGAAGTCGTGTTTAGTCCTTTCCGCGCGCTTTCCCGTCGTCAACTGACGTTCCCGTCCTGTTGCTAAATCAGCCTATTATCTCACTTGTAATCAACTTGACTTCCGTTTCCGGCCTCAGGAATATGGGTATTCTTGTGCATTCCCACAGGGGATAAATCAGTGGAACCCGACCTTGATTACATTTAGTAGCCCTAGGAAAAGAATCCACGGTTGATAAACAAGAAAGAGGAGTTGAAATCTGTCTGTTGCAAGTTATTCTTCATTTGCGTGACTTTTATCTCTGCGCGCGTGATCGATCGGTGCCTTTGTTTTCATTCGACACATTCACAAGTTTCCCGCATTGTTTAATCTGAATGGAACGTTTCTCCCGAAGAAAAGTTTCTACAATTCATGCAAATTTCCTAAGTGTCTAGCATAAATGGAGTTTTCTACCATAAATCGCACCATCCGTCATGTTGTTCAGGTAATTTGCCGACTATGATCGTGACACTCGGTCCCAGTCTCAAAACGAAGAGGGCCTTCTAGTCCATCCCTTCAACATCAGCCAAGGTCTGATAGGATGGTGTCTTTGCGTGATTATGAAATTTGCTTACTCTTTCTTCTGCTGGTAAAGTTTCACGGGTCAGGTGAGTGTGAAGTTATTCTTCCGTACAAGGATTTGACAATATTTTTTTACCATGTGCCATTTTAAGCTTAGACATCGAAAACGCCGACCGAACGTGATTTCCGTCAAATGATTTCCGAACTCCAAGGAGGCTTTCAACAGCTTCTGTATTTCAAAATTTAGATATGTAGTTGGGATTTCAATCGTGTGATAAATGAGGTCTGAATAACCATGATGCGATAGGAATCAAGAGCGAAGGATTTTATGCTTCAAGTGTAACAATACCATACGTTCAGGATTTAACATAAACATTGAAACTTAGAAGTACAATATTTTTTTGATTAGTGTGAGTCATCTTTTTAGCCATGAGAAAAGTTACTGCTTTGTTAGTTGGCTTTCCATTACAAACATAATGGCTATGCAAACCCAGAAGAGAGTTGCCATCTGTACATAAACTCTCTTTCTTCCCTTCCATCATTTATTATTGGGAAGAGCTGTTACCAATTTTTCCACTCATTATTGGTGCAAATAATGACCCCAGTAAGGATAATTGCTGTTAGCTAAGTTGAGTGTGACTCTTCCTCCAGGCAGCAATCATGTAAAGAAACTACATAATACACTTGGATGGATAATTGAGCAGTATTTACTCATACCTTCATGTGTGATTTGTTTACTAGACCGGTTTTTAGCTGCATGCACATATGATTGTGGTATCCCACACCGGTAGTTGTGAACGATTTATTTTTGTTGTATATTTAAAAACAGTAGAAGTTTTAACCAGGACCAAACTTTTTGAAATGAGTGTGAAGATATCTTTGTTTATCATATACATACCAAGATTTACTCCAAGCTAAATTAACAAAACAAAAAAGGATTTGTAATAAACTGCACAAATTCTTATAGGTAGGATGGTTTTTCTCACAATTTAGAAATGACCATCTGACCAATCACAAGTTGAAGATGAAATTTTTGACCACTGGAAAAAAATAGTGTGGGTTTTTTTGCCTTTGTTTTGTGGGGGCTTGCTAAAGTTAATGAGAGCGAATATCAGCAAGGTTTGCTGGTTGCTGACAACTGTAGAACCATGACTTCAAGGTTGAAAACAAGAGATCAGCTGCACTTCATGAAAATTGGGGAAACTCATTCTGATTTGGCCTCACGCAAACTTATGACAATCTTTGTCTAAACCTATGCTTTGATCAATCCCTGACATTTTTAATCCAGGGAACTTAAGTGGAATCTCCTCCAAAATGGTATAAAAGACTTAAATTTCTAGATTCTGACTCTGATAAAAAAGCATTGCAATCCATGATTGCGATTTAATTTGTGCTTAATATGTGAATGACCAAAAATTTCTGTTTCATATTGGCACTATAATTCCTATGCTATTAACAAAGGCTTTTCAATCAACTAATTTATTCCTTGTTTTTGTCATTCCTTTGTTCCTGCAGGAACAAGCCTGCACTTCCTCAAATTTCATCATGTTTAGTTTGCTTGTATGATTTTTATCTACTTATAGTCTAGCCAAAAACTTGCTTGTTCCTTGCTCATTGTTTTACTCTTCACAACTCAAGAATAGAAATTGCACGCACTCACTAACTATGAAGCATCTATATTTCTTACATGTCCCAACCATATTAAACCATTTTTGGAACTCAGTCATACTAATTAAAGTATAATGTTAAACTTGGTAGTACACTTGCTCTAAAATTAATGTTGTTGTAAATGGAAACAGTTTCTACCAAGTGAATAAACCAAAATTTATATTTAGTTTAAGAAGTTCCAATGATGCTACCACTTAATGGTTCATGGTCCCAAGGTGTATGAACCAACTGGCTTGTCTCAGGCTTCCAATATGTGATTATCATAGTGAAAATAGCAAGATAAAATTTGGCTTTCCAGGTAAATCAAGGATTCTACCAAATCCAATTTTTTTTGGCAGAAGTGCTTCACATAATAAGTACATTTACTACCTGTCTTGCTGTCCTGCAGATAAGTAGAATATCAGAATGCTTAATGACACAAAGGTACAAAAAAAGTTGAATTTTGTCTTTCACCTGTGTAAAGCTTTACAGTGCAGTGTAAGAAAAATCTGAGTTTTTCTGTGACAAATCAAGGTTTGAAAGGTTAGTTAATTTACCATTCAATGCTATCAAAGCACACTTGGTTGCTGCTTTTGTAATTTTTGTGACAGCTGCTTCTTTTTTTGAATTTTTTTTTCTTAGCTTTCCACAGCAGGGTGAGAAGCCATTTTGTTGTTGTGCGATGCTTTGAGCTGAGGTGAATAACTGGTGGCTAACCACCAGTGAGCTTGGGAATCAATTTATACAAAAGCACTTAAACAAATCCACCATAATTTTCCATTGTCTTCTTAAAAAATAGATTCCATGTTACTGCGCACCAGTGTTCAGTAATAGATCACATGTTATGTCAGAATATGGTAAGAACAAAAAAGTGGCACATGAGATGCAGCTTAGCTTGTTCCAGGCATTCAGTTAAGAAAATGGATGGAGCTAATTAGCAAAGGTGCAGCAGTAGTAGAGGAGTGAAAGAGCAAGGGAGACTACAGCACTGTTTACTATTGTGCTATGTTTTACTTAATGAATGCCTAGAACAAGCTAGGTGCAGTTGAGTGTGTCACTGATGTTCTTAGCACAATTTCACATCCTCTGTGAGTTTTAACTGTACATAGCAACTGCAACATGGAATCAATTTGTTTTATTCAGTGAAGAAGCAAAAATTGTTAATGGTGACATCACCCATGCGTTTGTCCTCCAATAGATCATAACTAGATGAAAGAACCAATCAAAATGCATGTAGAATTCAGCTTATTACATAAAATCTTATTGATCATAGAAATGAGGTCAAAGATATTCAAAGCTAAAGGAGGCACAGCTGAGTGGTTACAATACAAGGTTACAGACAATGGAAAATTGTGGTTGATTTCTTTTTTTACAATAACATTGGAATTTTTGTGACCACTCAATGGGCTAAAGCTAATAAAGCTTTGCTGTTGTTGTCTTAACTTCAAGGCGTAATGTGATGACTTCAACGATTAAATACCATTAGTGTGATTGTTCAGTTGATTTTAGAGATGTGCATGCTCAGATTGATTGAGGATTGCATCATGTCTTGCTATATAATCACGGTGCACAGGGTGATCATAGCAAGAGTGCTAAATTTCAAAGTGGCTGCCTTGCATTTCTAGGTTGGAACTTGTCAAAAATGATTTTCAAAAGGCACAAATAGTTACACATTACTGCTATTGAACCTTATTTCTTAGCAAATTAAAGTATATTTAAAGCTGATTGATATCAGTGAATACCATTGTAGTGCATATTTACACTTATTGCTGTTACTGCTTACACTAAAAGTGCCTCCGTGGTGGACTCTATTTAAGCCCCTCTTTGTAAATATCCTAACACGTGTAAATATAGGGCATGAGAATATTATGTTTATGGTTGTCTGTTTTAGGGAATGTGGATGTGCATTTCATCCAGAAACCTTCTAATCCAAGCTACTTTAACAATGGTAGTGATGCCAATCTGGTGTGGAACTACACTGATCCACATAATAAGATTCAGGGCATTCTCTACAGTGTTTTGGAAAATGGTGTATTTGTTAGAATGATTTTTAATGACAGTGGTGGTGTACAAGAACATCGTGATATTCCTCCATCTTATAAGGGAAGAGTTAAAATTGTAGGAAGAGCTACCCTGGTTATCAAGAACATCAACCCTGGAGACAAGACCAAATTTAAATGTGAAATATTTGGAAGCTTTTCCTACTTGGTAGAAAGTACAGTGCAGCTTGATGTGGCAGGTATGTATTACAGACATGAAAATTCATAACCAAATATAAATCAATGCATTGAACTCATGTCTCTCATATTTCTGAGACCTGGTAAAAGTAAACAATAGCATAAATATGCACAAACCTTTATATGCAGGGCTGAAAGTCACAGGCTAGCTAACCTGACTTTTGGTTATTGCTTTACTCATCTGGCACCAATTACTGGGTTGCTCTGTTATGCATAGATAACCATTATTAATATGAGTACTGAGATTTTTTCTTAGCAAGGCTGTCAATTTAAAATGGTCAGTCAAGACCAGAAACAATCCAACTGGCTGTATGATTTTGCTAAATCAATGAAGGAAAATATTGCATGACCAATCACAGGCAGCATGTGAAATTACATTGGTGTGAAAAAGATTGTATTTCTTTTCATGCCTGTTAAAGGGACTTGCCAAAGGCAATGTAAGTCAGCACTGCACCATTTGCTGCTTTCTGAGGATCATACAATCTTAGAGGTTTGCAGATGTAAATTTAGCGAACAGAATGGTGACTTCCTCAAGTAATTTCTGATACTAAGGAGCAAATTGAGACTTGTCATTTGACTGTGATTCAAAGTTGAAAACGTTTGTGAGATGTCAATACTCCTGTACAATTTACCACATTGTTTGCTTGAATGATTTTATTCACTTGTGAAAAATCCAAACTCTCTGTTTACTATGTTCACTTGCTTGTTTTTGATCCTTTATGACTCATGAATAAAATTGTTTAAGCTCACCAGCCATTACTGTACATAATCTTCTTTCTTTCCTTTATTTAAATTATGCATTTATTATGTTCTGTTGGCTTATTTTAACTGTAATACAATACCTGTCACACTACTTCTATTCTCGAATTGTATTACGATAGAAAGATACTAGGTTATTAAGGCTTAAAAATGACAAAAGAATCATCATTTGCATTTGGTTTTTGTAGCCCAAAGCCAATCCATGTCTCATACTTCACTTATAGAAAAAATCCAGGGCCAAACATCTTGGTTTTTTTTTTATTTTTTACTAAGAGTGGACCCTCTTTTAACTTTAAGTAATGGGCAAGCAGCAGTCAGCATGCCACTGGTATATTCTTTTTATTGCGAAGAATCCATAGTTTCTCTTTCATCAAAATTTCAGTTCTCTGGGTTGAGGATGTCTCTTGTAGATCTTTTGTTAGACCAAGTTCCGAGTAGGGTGTGGCTTGATTGGCCCTGTTCCTATTTGTTTGTGCAGTAGCAAAAATTTTATCCACTAGAATGGAAGTAGCTTAGAAGCCAGGGTCTTTAGCCCCAGGCTGGGGCTCTGCTTTATAATTGAGTATGTGAGCAATTTCTCCAGTAGCTAGTGCCAACAGGTTTACTTGTACTGAATGAAGTTTGAGCCTCCTTATACCAGTTGGTTATTGAGGACCAATTGCTGGATGCTTTTGTTTATTTTACGGAAATTGGGTAAATCTTAAGACTCAGTCCAAGTAAGATTTGCTACGCTATTTGAGGAATGATATAATCTATTTTACCTTTCAGAGGCACTACTTATAAACATCTCTTTAAGAGGAAAATATTACATTGAAGGATCCCCTGTCACCATGGCTTGTGAAGCTTCTGGGAAACCATTGCCAGATGTGGCATGGATTAGAAATGGAGTACTGGAAAGTTCAAGGAAGAAAGCTACCCTTTTAAAGTTCAATTATATAAACAGAACAGATACAGGACAATATACATGTCGAGCCAATAACTCAGTGGAAGTCACTTCTATTGACACAACAATTGTAGTTCAGTGTAAGTATATTTTAACCTTAATTTTCTATTTCTGAATTTACTTTATTTACAGTGCAAATCCTGTTACTGGGGTGACAGTTATCCAGAACTGACAAATCTGTTCAAAAGTGAAAAGAAACAGAATTCCACATCAAATCCTTTTCGGCTTTGTATGCATTGGTCCTAATTATTGGTTGGGATAATTGAATTTACGTAGAATCATTGCTCATGTTATTTTGCATAGAAGGATGTGACATTTTATAGTAATTCATTGCTTCAGTTGGACTGTGTTTAATTCTGAAAATGGCTTAAAGCCATTTCCGAATCATTGTGACATCTCAAAATTCACTCCGTTTGACTAGTGCACAAGGCTATTGCATATTCTGATTCTGTGTGAGGGCTCTTGTTGGAGCTTTATGGAAAGCTGAAAATTGATCAAAATTCTGTCAGCTGAAAAATTACGTTTTTTTTTTTACTGATAGCTGAGATCAGCGCATAGATGCGAAAATTGGCTGAAACTAAAACTGCATGCCCAAGATTTGCACACATATTTGAAACTGGCTGCTTATCTTGATACAGGTAATCCAAACTATCGTATCAGAATTTCCAATTTCCAATTTACGAAAAACATTTACAACAGAATTTGAAAGCATCTTAGCAATTATACTAATAACAGAAGTTATTCGCCTCGGGCTTGGTGACGATTGATGACACATAACCTAACATAATACACATAACCTAAAGAGTCCCTCTTCCTTTCCTTTTTTCTCTTCTCATTTCGCTTTACGCAAACTGATCATAATCTTTGTCATATCAGCATTTTTTGTTTTATTTCAGGATTTTAGTGTGAGAAACGAAGTTTCTTTAATCATATCCCACTGTTTAACTATATCAATATTGTAGAGAGTTTTTTGTGATACGAAGATCTTACTGGTTATTGACTTTCATTAGATTTGGTGCCTCCTAAGAGCCATTTTTAGCTACCTAAAGTGCAATGTCAATAGAGAATTAGGTGGAGCAGGGCGCGGTGGCTCCCAAAAGAGCCGCTTGTAATATTTTGTTTCAGCACCTCGAGCCTCGAGCCTCCAACACAGCTGAAACAACCTTTCGCAAAATATGTTCTATGTATTTTGCACGCTTCTCCGGCGTGACCTTCCTCTCCCAGAACTTCTTTATACAATTTACAAGCTCCTGCTTGTTGTGAGGTTTTACTTTTCACTCCAAGTAGAACTTGAGTTCACGCCACAAGGTTTCCATGGGCTTAAGGTCAGGACTCTTCAGAGGGAGTACGCCACCAGTTGATTTTTTCCTCGTCGAAGAGAGTTTGCGCTCTCCTACTCGTGTGCTTCAGGTCATTATCCTGTATGAACTGGTGCTCGTAACTTTAATAATAATAATAAACGGAATAAGCGTCGTCTCTGGAACATTGCAAAAGAGATCGGCACCCATGATGCCATCAAAGATGCAAATCTTGGTGGCACCCGGTTTACTGATTCCCCCCACACATGAACAATGGAGGTGAGATCGAGCACTCGTCGCTGAAAATCATGTTGTGGAAAGTGTTGCCACCCTCTAAGATGCGTTGAGCTAGCTCCAGACGCTTGGCTTTTTTGGTGCCGAATCAGCTGGCAATAAACAGTCCGCTGCATAGTATAACCTTGCTGCTCTCACGCTCTCTTACCGTGGACGAACTGACGAGAATTCCACGTTTTGCCAGCCTCTTCACTTAACGGGCGCAAAGTCATGTTTTAAAATAAAAATTTAAAGAACAGAGGAGCAGGTTCTGGCACCCTAATCAGTTAATTTTATCTCTTTAGCGGAAAGTTTTATTGTATACCTCTCAAACGTTTTGAAACGCACATCTAAAATAAAACAAAAAAGCTTCACGGGCCCGTTAAACTACCTGGACTTCCGATAAACGGGCCCCTGGTGGGAAAATTGTCCTCTTGGCGTCAATACTCTGGGGATTATGACGAGAGTAGAAAGGTAGTGCCCTCCACGACGACAGCCAATATACTTAGTTATGTGAAGCTGGTTTAGTTGTCGCCACATTTCACCTATTTTGGACCACAGAAACCCGATCAGTCTTCAATGCACTTCTCGTCCTTCGTCTTTCCAGCTGAGAAAATGTGGCAGACTTTTGTCGCTAGCTTTAAAGTAGCGAAAACTTCAGCCCAACAGTCTTTGCAACACTTTCAACCTTTCCGTCAGATTCACAGCAGTCGTTGTGAACAGCCATATAACAGCCCCCATGATCACTTGCAACGAATTGCTCACCAGCATGTTCAGTTAATGTAATATCCATTCTATCCCTGTACAAATAAACAAATATTCCTTCAAGTGCAAAGGGTGAATTCGACCTTTTATCTTGTTTCGTTGACTTCTTTTTCAAATAAAAATTTGAAGGTCGTTTTGTTGCGGGCAAATTCCGAGGTAAAACGAGTATCATTTCACTTTTATTTAGGTCTTCAGCCAATGAAATTAAGGCCTGTTGTAAGGAGGAAATGCTTTAGAAAAAATTTGTAGTTGCGCTTAGGTTTAGTTGTTGATAATGTAGATACTTAGAGGAAATAAACAAAAACTCGGAGTTTTGTTATTTCATACAAAGTACCTTCCAATTCCAAAACGTTTTTCCATTGGTGGAGAAAGTGTGACATACCATTCGTCAAAACTCATCAAAAGCTCGGGTGCATCGGGCGAATTTCTTTCTATCAGTGCGCATTTTTTTTCTACAAAAAGTTTAAGCCGTAGAAAACTTCTGTGGTGCCTTCCTGTCAATCAAGTAAATTTTATCTCACTTTAAGAAAGGCTATTCACACAGAAACCTACCAAAATATTTAATTTTTGTGCTGCAATCGGGCTGTGAAGACGAAGGACGACAAAGAGAAGAACAAAGAAAAAAATAGAATAAAATATGAGCAATAATTGTCATCACGAGGCAACAGTTTCCCTAAAGAATTACAGTTTTTACATGTTAACATAACCTTTCCCTCGAACAGAACCTAAAGAAAGGTGTTCAATTTTAATGTGATGGACCTTGTGGTTATCAAATATTTACTTGTTTGCAAGTGCGCACGAAATAATAGAATTTTAAATTTTATTGCAGACAAAATTTGTTTCTGCAAAGCAGAACAACTTTTGTCACCCTAGTATGTAGGGTACCTAACCCCTTTAGGCAAACAAAAATTAGAAGTATTGTTTTTTTTTTAAATGTATATCTTACAATTTGAAACAAACAGTTTTAAGAATTGTGTCTAAAATTTCTATTTATTACGAACTTTTTTTTTTGGTCTAAAGTTTAGAACATAGTGTATTAAAAAAGTGCAATAATTCGGCTGTTGATTTACTATGACAATATCTAAAACCATACTATTCTACCACAAGCACAGTTATCCATTTCTGGTTAAAAAATCATTTCAAATTTTTAACATTTTTGGATCAGCTAAAAGAGTTAGGTTAACAGAATAAGGGAACGATTAAGAAATCTAAAACCATATTTAAAATATCGCATTCAAAAATATGTTTTAAGAACTTGATAACACTTCTTGTTCTTCTCGTACTGGTGTATTTTCATTTACTTTCAGCATCTAATTACGATGCTAGTAAGCAGAAATTGTAGAAATGATATCAATACAGTATGGCAAAATATCCGGAATTGTGTCCGAGAGATCGCCTTCTTTGCAACGTGGTAGAATTACTATAGAGGTATCCAGGAATTTGTAATGAATTCTTACCTTCGTTCAGTTTCTCTAAAGTTTTTCATTCAAACAAACAGTTTACATAATATTGCCCGTGCACATTTAAAATACTTATCATCACAATTGTAGTTTTCTTTAGCCTGAATCAGACTCTCAGGAAGTAAAACGAGCCACGATAGTATGAACACAACCTGACCAAAATCTCCCTGGTTTTTCGTTTTGGTTTTTCACTCTGCTGCTGCTAAAGCACTTTGCAACAGCATATTTGAGGAAGCTTGGATTTTTGACAAAAAAATTAATTTTTGGTAGTGGAGTCGAGCCAAAAGTCCGTGATGATTTTGAAGATGCTCCTCTACCTAGAGGCATCTAGCTTATGAGGCCCTTGACTTAAGATTTCTCTTAGATTGATGAAGGGAGGCTCTGTTCCTCAGGAATTTCTTATATAAATATATCATCCTGGTACCAATTGAGGAAAATAAGGAATGTCTTAGATTCAAATTGGGTTTCCGCTTTTTTGCGAGATGAGATCCTCTCACGTGTAGCGTCTAGGGCACTGTTGCACTCGTCTCCTTTCTCAAATCCAAGGATATTCATCAAAAATTTTTCATGAGCGACAACGTTTTCATGTCCGTTAAAATATAAAGCTGGACTTCACAAATTGCTCATTTTTATTAAAAGAGAATTTGAAAGTAGCTATCCAAGTAACAACATAGATGGTGTTATTTTTCTTGCCGCAGTAATGCAATTATTTTTCAGTGTGCAATGTTTAAGTTAAAGTATTTTGCTTATAGTCAGCATTCTAACCATGGGTGAATGACTTGCTACAATTTTCCATCTCAAAACCGTTATATTTTCTGCCCAAGGCACTCCATGGACCGATACAAGATTAACCCTTCCTTGTTGCATTATCATGCACTCTCTAGGCTATTAAAAGGGGTTATGATTTATAACTAGGCGAAATGTATGAGCGATGAAATAAACTGAGATTGAGATTTTGATTTGATTTAAATTTTTAGACAAACCTGAAGGTGCGAGGCTCACGACCGATGCTGCACAAAATACCGTCACTGAAGGAGACACTGTTACATTCAAGTGCATAATTATGGCTGCTGTGCCACAAGTGTCAATTTACAAGTTCTATTTCAATGGCAGCCTCTTACGCGAGAACAGCAACAGTGAGTATACTCTCAATAACGTCAATCGATCTCAGCACTATGGCGAGTACAAGTGTATCCCACATAATGACGTTGGAGATGGAGCAAAAGCCACTGTGAGACTTAACATAAAGGGTAAGTAGAAACATATTTGAGCATTTTTAAGTACTTTTGATTTATAATCCAAAACAGGAAAAATGTTTTATACCAGTTTACATTGCGTCAATAAAACTCCCCACACAGTGAATCATTACAACCCCGAACAGGGAGGAATAGAGACCCTGGTAATGAGGTTGACGTGTTGTGCGTGACGATCAACACGTGTACTAGTTAGCAGTATTTTCAGGCAGATGAAGACTTTTGTTGATGTTCCTGATGTTTTGAACAGAATTTCGAGGATAGGGAATGTTTTCTTCAGATGTAGTGTATGATGTCAGTATCAGTTGAACTGATATGTTGTCAAAGTGAATTCAAATATTGGTTTGCGAAAATGAGCCAAAATTAAAAAAACCACAATGAACAACCTCGAGTCAAGATATCACCAGTCAATTATATGCTGCCTTCAATCCTAATAAGCCTGAGAAACTGCAAGTGGTGTTTGACTGCACAAACCGATACAAAGGGACATCGCTCAACGACCAATCACTCAGTGGTCCAGACTTGACTAACAGCCCGCTTGGTGTCGTCTTAAGAATTCTTCATGAGCCAGTACCTCTCTCCTCAGGCATTGAAGCCATATTCCATCAAGTAATGGTTGATCCAAACGATGGTGATACCTTGAGGTTTGTTTGGTGGCCTGACGATGACTTATCTAAGGAGCCTGTTGAGTACACATTTTTGGTGGCACGTCTTCACCAAGTTGGAAAAATTTTGGTCTTCGAAAGGCGGCTCAATGAAGTGATCAACACAGTATTGAAGAACTTTTAGGTGGATGACTGTTTTAAATCGGTGTAACCAATGAACTCGCCAGTAAATTGAGAGAAGATTTGTGTGTCCTATTGTCAAGAGGTGGATTTCAATTGGCTAAATGCTTGTGTAACAGGAGGCAAGTCCTCCAAACCATTCCAACCTCAGACAGAGCTTCATCAATTTTGGATTTGTGTTCAAATTCTTGTGTGCTTCCTATTGAAGTAACCCTTGGTGTTCAGTGCAACATGGATAGCGACATGTTTACTTTCAAGATGGTACTAAAGGATAAGGCCTTCACACGAAGAGGGATTCTATCAGTGACTAGCTCCATTTATGATCCACTTGGCATAGAGTCGCCAATCACCTTACTCGCTAAAAAGCTCCTTCAAGATCTCTGCAAACAAGGACTCACCTGGGATGAAGAGATAGTGGGAAAGTAATGTCAGTTTTGGAGATGATGGCTATGTGATGTACCTATGCTTATAAGAGTTGCCTTACCAATATGTTTGAAAACAATCGACTTTGGCTGGGTACAAAATGCAGAGCTTCACCACTTCGCAGATGCCTCTCAGATTGCTTATGGGACTGTTTCATATACAAAACTCGTCTTTGAAAATGGCCGCACCCACTGCAGTCTCCTCGCTGGGAAATCTCGCTCGGCTCACGTGGAACAGATGACTATACCCAGATTGGAATTGTCAGCTGCTGTTTTAGCTGTCAGAATGAATCAGAAGTTCAACACAGTGTTTTGGTTAGTCTCCAGAGCTGTCCTCCAATATATCACGAGCAAAGAGACAAACGATTCTACATGTTTGTGGCCAATTGCCTGACAGTGATACATGATGGCTCAGAACCTTCCCAGTAGAACTTTGTGCCAACAAGCATCAACCTAGCTGACGATGCCAGCCGAGGACTAACGGTAAAGGAGTTATTAAAGAGGGAGGTTTGGTTCAGAGGCCCTAAGTTTCTCTAGGGAAGTGAAACATCGTAGCCCACCTATCCAGTCTCTTTAGTCAGACCGAGCGGTCAGGGTCAAGCTCGAACAAAGCATGTTACTCTCATAGAGGGGACCTCATGAAGGACCACTGAACCTAATGGTTCTGCAATATTCTTCATGGTTTAAGCTTAAGAAGGGAGTTGCTTGGCGTCTGAGATTTTAAAAAAAATCCTTAAGAGCAAGAGGTACTTACAAGAGGATCCTGTTGATCCATTACCTTGTGGACGGCTGTCGATGGACGAATTACGACATGCAGAGGCTCAAATCATCACATACGTGTAAAAATTAGCTTTCTCGCCAGTGTTTAATGCCCTCCCAGACTTGAGCCCAGGCGAATCTGAGAAGCGTAAATCGAAGATTATTGGCTCATTTGGTTCAGTGTACAAATTGAGACCATTTCTGGATGGAGCGGGAATATTGAGAGTCGGTGGTCGGCTTCAAAATTCTTCATCAGATTACCAATCGAGACATCAACTGCTGTCACCTTCAAAGCACCATGTTACCAAACTGCTCATTATGGATGTTCATTAGTCTGTGGGTCATCTAGGTCAAGAATATGTCCAGACCAGTTTGTGAAAAAAGTACTGGATCTTTAAGGGACGGGCTGCTCTTTGAAGAGTACTCAGTAACTGTTTGACATGCCAAAAACAAAATGCTGCAAAGGGCCAACAATTGATGTTAGATTTACCTGGCAACAAGCTTATTCCAGATAAACCCCTGTTTTCTAACGTTGGCATAGATTCCTTTGGCCCACTGTATGTGAAGCAAGGCAGAAGTACAGTTAAAAGCTATGGTGTCTTTTCTCTTGCTTAACTATCCGAGCAATCCACATTGAAGTGACCGAGTCTCTGGAAACAGAATCGTTTATTCGCGCTCTATGCAGATTCATCAGCAGAAGAGGGACGTCAAAAATGATAAGAGGTAACAATGGTATGAACTTAAGTAGCGGAGAGAGAGAAATCCCTGAAGCCCTGAACAACTGGAATCAGCAGAAGGTAGAAGTTTTCCTTCATCAGAAGAACATCAAGAGGAAGTTTAATTTCGCTGGAGCATCACACATGGGAGGAGTCTGGGAACGCATGATTCGTTTAGTGAGAAAGATCTTAAGAGCCCTTTTTAAGCAACAATTGGTTTTAGAGACGCACTGCCAACGTTGATGGCAGGAATTGATGGAATTCTCAATGGTTGACCATTGACTCTTAACGATGGCATGCAGTCCTATTGATTCACCATCTTCGACTACTGACCATTTGTTACTTCGATGGCATTTAAATTTGCCACCAGGAGTCTTCGTTAAGAATGATTTGTACTGCCATCGTCGCTGGAAGCTGGTTCAACACCTTCCTGACGTATTTTGGAGGAGATGGTTTTCGTAATATCCGTTAAATTTGCAAGAACGGCAGAAATGGATCAGACCACGTCATAGTTTTGCTTTTGGTAACCTGATTTTAATTCCCGATGAAAGAGTTCACCCCAGTCGGCGGCCTTTGGGTCGCGTTCTCGAAGTTCACCCAGGAAGGGATGGATTTATCCGATCCGATGGCCCAATACTTAAAGTAAACCTAAGGGGTTGGAATGTAGCAACTAGAATTTGAATTTCTGTCTATTGTCAAGTAACTGCGGAAATATTTTATATTGTTTTTCTTTCAATTGAACTACCATTGTGATATTCTGTTTCGATTCAATTAAGCCCGCTTTTTTGCATGAGTTTGTGTAAGAATTACATAGTGCTGGTAGCACTTTATTTCTCGCTAGTACAAGCTTTGTTTTAGTTACATACTTTTCATTACTAGTTGATTTCAGATAAGTCAGTCTTTTCGTTAATTTTTGCTAGCGCCGTGTTACTTTTGTTTAAGAGTTTCATTACCAGACCTGATCACGCCACAAATTGTAAGTTCGTTTCTTTCTTATGTAGCTCTGTCGTTAGTCTTGTTGTTATATGTGTACTTAGATATTTGTATTAGTATTCTATGTTCTATTGAGTTCAACACTAAAAAGGTCAGTTTTGCTCTAAGATTTTATGGACCTCTCTGTAGTTCTCTGACATTTTGGGTACTTTTAAGTGATAGTGTTGACAATGATAATAATTATAATGATGATGATAGTGATAATAATATCAGTGATAATAATATCAGTGATAATAATATCAATGATAATAATTTTGGTGACGATGATATGAATAATAATAACAGTTCTAGGAAGTATAGTCTATCATACCCTGAACCTCCGTGAAAAAAATTACTTAAGCTAACTTATTATTATAATCATGTGATTTGAGGTTGGTATGATGATGACATAAAATTTAAAATTGCTTGTCGATCATTTTAAAACGTATTTTGTTTTTTTCCCAGTTCAAACAGTTTCAAGTACAGTTGCCACCTCATCCCAAACAACTCCTGCAGGTAAATGTTCTTTTATAGGCGTTTTCTTTTTTTTATTACATGTGAAACTATGTAATCATAATAGCATGTTCTTTAGTGTTACAAAATGAGTTTGAGTAAAAGACAAAGAGTGAATTAGGTCACTGAAGGCCTGGAACTTAGCGAAGGACTGTAGACTCACAAAGAATCATAACAATGTTCAAGCTGAATTATTGTTAGATGGAACCACTTCTCGGCAGTTTTTGCGAACCAAGGCTCTTCATGTTTTTCGTAAATGTAAAAGGACACGGCTTTTCTTCAGCTTCAGAAAGCACAGAAGTTTACCTGACAGCGACGATACAGGGGAACTGTAGCAGACGTTCAGAAGTTGCTGCGAAATTTCCAGAAATGGTTAGATAATCTACTTGATCCGTGTACCGGAGTGTATAGAATACTGCCATAATATTTGTCATTAAAAAGGAATCTTAATCAATCTATTGTTGACCGAAATCTCAATATTTCTGTTAAAACAAAATGACATTTTGAACGATCTTCAATAACGAAACAAGTATTCAAATTTTCTTTAAATGTGCTTTTAGGCTTGTCAAATTGCCTTTAAGTTTGGCTGCTCATCCGCCAACACCGTGAACACCAGGTAAGGTGCAGTTTGTCTCAACACTGAAACAACAAACGCTAACGCAAATCTGGGTTCTGGGGCGGAGAGGAGCTTTATTTCAGTTTGGCGTATTTTAGTGTTAAAATTGGTGTTTCTGCTCTAAAAAATCTTAGTTAATGCAAGATAATCTACATTTGAAGTACATTTTATTTAATGTACAGCAACAGACTGACACATAATGACATGAATTAATTTTATTTACCTTGGTTTATTAGATCAAAAATACTCTTTTGGTTAAATCTCAATGTATTTTAACACTTAAAAGTCACCAAAGTACAAATAGAATGCCGAATAGAGAACCGTGCCGTAAAGAGCACAATGCATAAATTTTGACTGATTATGCAATTGAAGCCGTGTGGTTACTCAATTTTTGTCACGCAAGGTGCGCCTTCATCGAATTGCTCTCGCTGTAAACTCTGTCCTTTCGGTAACGTACTTTGTTTGGCGCTGGATTCTTTCTAATCTTTAGGCTACTCATTTATAATAAGTCAAAACAGACCTCAAGACGCCTATATCCCCAAGTGTAACGTTGAGTTAAGTACTGCGGTTCTCCTAATTCCTAACCTGTTTAACTATTACTCAAGTAACGTTATTTAAATTAAGGTAGCGACAATTTTTTTCACAGAGCAAAGACAGCAACAAGGTCCTTTAATGAAAATGTTATTTATTGTAACAAATGGCTTTGTATTGTAATCGTAATAAGCTTTCAAGGGAGAGATAAACAAATATTAGGAAAAGGAAATGTAGTTATATTCTCCAAAGGTGACAAATGTTTGAATAGGTGAAGAATGTAAAAGCGGATGAAGAAACTACTTGCAAACCTAAATGAACTCTTCCTACGATTTCGTTTTGTATAATACCGACTGTATAATCAGTCATAACTTATGCGTCTTACTTTTTCGGCACAGTGTTCGATTCGGCATTTTACATCCTTCTCCCCTTACCTAGGTGTGGCAGTGTTGTTCTCGACTTCATGATGAGCTTCAATCGAAGTGTAGCCGTCAGCAATGTTTTGACTGTCCTCTTAGATGCTGCAAGGCAAGACAAATTCGGAGGTTTTAAAGTCGATCCAGAATCAATTAAACAAGTTTTTGTACCCACAGATGGCTCGGAAAGCACAACAAAAGGTAAATTTTACAAAGAAATATTATTGTTAAATGTTTACACGAATTCGTCCTAAGATGGACTTTTTCAAATTGTATTCCGTATCTGTTTAATCAAACAACTCAATTCTGTGAGTCATATATTTCCAAGTTTTGTTTTTGTCGCTGTTGTTGTTTTTATTTAATTAGACAAAATCTTACTTTTAAACATTTTTATAGGGAGAGTAGCATCTTGCTTTTCCTTAGTACCTAGCAAATAAGAGTTAACGGTTTTCGTTTACGAGCGTAAGCTATGTAGTGAGAGCAGTGTATTGACCACGATCACTGTAAATGCTGTGTGAATGTTACCTGATCAGACTTTGTAAACTGAATCATTTTAGGTCCTGAGGAATGTACCTGCCCATCTAACATCGTCTCATTAGCCATAAATGGGGTTCTTGCCTTCATAATCGTTCTTCTAATTATTTACATAATCTGGCTACATAAGAAAGGTAGGTAAAAAATTCATAATCTATGATAGAGGGTTTGGCTGCAAGATTCTTTATTAAGCAAAAGGAAATCTTGACCCACATTCACATCATTTGCCTTTTTTTCCTTTCGTTCTTTTCCAGGCGCTGTAGGGAAACAGAGGTAAGAATTTGCTGCCACTTGGATTGTGTCGATGTAATGTAACAGATATGGTATCATCTTCTAACAAACTTCCATTTAAAACTGATGAGATTCTCAGCTCGTCATAAATATTTGTATGCTTTCTCAATTGTAGGACTTATGAAGATGAAAGAGGTGTTTCCTACGTAAGTTACAGCTAAGACATTGAGGTCATGTTAGTGTGGCCTGTAATTATGTAATCTCACTTAACCTCTACTCTCTAGAAGGAAATAAACGCTTGTAACAAATAGGAAGGAAAAAAGGTGTAGTTCTACCAAAAAGGCATAATGCATTAATAACAGGTACAATAGAGTATAGGAAGAAGTTTGACTCGATAAGGTCTTTGTCCTGGGATCATGTCCTTTACCAAGCTGCTCCATCGATTTTCCTTCGGTTGTCCCTGGTTCAACTGCGTGGTTTCACTTCATAGATCGCAAACTGGTCTGCACCCGGTTGATATTTGTTTTGTAAATGATTTTTTTTTCACGCCGTTTTGGCCGTCTCTTTATCTTGATGCCTTATTTTAAAAGCGTTAGTCCAGGAGCTTAGTACAGCAAGAGTTTTTTTTTCGTGTGTGCATTTGTCAAAAAATCGCACTACCAATCGACGATCTTCATGTTGCGGTTTGTAGCTTCAACGAATATGCCATGAACCTCGATCTCTGCATTGGATATGATAGTTTCAATGGCAGAGAACAAAGTGTTAGTAATAATAAATATTAGTAATATTTAAGGACAAGAGATTATAAACTATTAATAATCTCTTGTTATGAAATAATATAAACGCTTGTCTGATGAAAACGGGTAAACTGATTTTTATGAAAATGTAGGAAATTTTATTGGGATTAATAACGGATTTGTATATGTATACCTTAACGGTATGTTGGTTTAATAGAATGAAACAGGATTAGAAGATAGCGAACCAAGTCTACCCGATTCAGCAAAACTCACCCAGCCTCCTGCGGAATACATGGATCTCATAGAAGTCAACAAACATGATAGAAAAGCACAAAGTACCGCTTCAGGTGCTGATTACGTGCCTCTTCATCCGTTAACACGCTGCTGGGAAGTTCCAAGACACCACGTGACCATAGAAAAAATTATTGGTAAAGGTGCTTTTGGTCAGGTTGCCAAGGGAACAGCAGTAGGACTTCAAGGGAGTCCTGAAGCGACCACAGTGGCTATTAAGATGCTTAAAAGTGAGTTCTTGAACTGTAAATTGAATGACAGTCTTGGCCTACAGTCATATACTGTTACCGGGTTACGTAACTTTTGGCTATTTGTCATTCGATAACTTATGTCGCTATTCGACATTTTGCATATTATTTCCGTTAACCAAATTTTACTCCTTGTTTTTAACGCTCCAGCAAACGCTACTGAATCGGACAAGAGAGATTTGATGAAAGAACTTGACACAATGAAGCAGCTGAAACCACATCCTTATGTCATTAAACTTCTGGGATGCGTTACAGAATCTGGTAAGCTTTGATTATGAGGTCCAATTTTGCTGTACACATTTTGCATCTGATTTACTCTGTAACGCTTTCTCGTCATTGATAATTTGCTTCAATGGAAGATTCACTGCTTCACAATCGCGCACAAAAAACAACCATCGCATATGGTAATTTTATCCTTTTTTAGCTAACAGCGACGCTCTTAGATTTGCTGATAGACGAAGACCAAATATTTGCCATTGTACAAGCCATTCTGTTGCATGAGCAGAATCGTTTTTTCTAAGGGAATATTTGGCCTGTATCTTCTTATGAGACCGTTACAAAGTTTTTCAGCTTTTCTTCGTAAAACTACATCTTGTTTTCGTGCGATTTCTTCAAAAGTATTGAACCTGACTGTGCTATTTATTTATTTTACTTATTGCTAATTTTTTTAGAGGGAGAAATATATAAATGAAACTGTTTAATTTCTTCAGAACAGCTGCTGGTTTTGATTGAATATGTGCCTTTTGGGGATCTGCTGGGTTACCTGAGAAAGAGCCGTGGATTAAAAGACACTTACTTCAAAGACCCGGATATCAAACCACAAACAAATCTGACGTCACAGCAGCTGATGAAGTTTGCGTGGCAAATTGCTGATGGAATGAGTTATTTGTCCTCAAAATCTGTAAGTTAATTACAAAGGCACCAAAGAAGAACAATTTTAAAACCTTCTTGTAAGGTGTATCGTCATGTGAAGCTATGTCTTGCATAGAATAATATGTCTTCACAAGATCACGCCCGGGATATGCAAACGTATTCTTACCGTCTCGTTGAGGCTGTTTCCGGGAACCCTACCAGTTTTGACGTCATCACCAAAGTTATATTTCAGTGTGCGAATGGCGATATTTGTGCATCGCTGCAAGTGCACCTCATCGAAATTAAATATCTGGGTTTTTCTCGTGTAGGCAAAGGCAGAGATGTGAATGAATAGGATCTTTTATTCAGCCTAAACTGAGTGTACAACGAATATCCATTTTAGTGACAAGAAAGAAAAGGAATTAAAACTTGAAATTCAAAAATTCGTCTTTTGTTGCTAAACTGCTACATTACAGAATCCTATTTCGAATAAAATCTTAAGATAAGCTTTCTATGAAATAATTAGGTATTGCAGAAATGAAGTAGTTTGCTTCCCTTTGGAAGATGGAGCAGTAACTATAATAATTTTAATTTTCTGCCATCTGGAAGAAAGAGAAATACACACACCATATTATGTCGCTGGATATTTCTATATTCCTATCTGAATCATTTCATTTCAGTTCTTTTTCTTCTGAAATCGCTAATTTTTGCTCTCGTATCAATGCTTTCTTAGATCATTCACCGAGACCTTGCGGCTCGTAATGTGTTGGTTGGACAAAAGGAAACTTGTAAAGTGACAGACTTCGGAATGGCCAGAGATGTGCAGCAGGAAAATATTTATGAACGAAAGACTAAGGTAATCAAGAAAGAGGGGAGGTGGGGGCGGTACTACATATCGTTCAGTTCAATTATCTTTCACAATCATTGTTGTGATAAAGCTGATATACTCCTGATTTCGATGACAAAATCCTTGGATGGGACCATAATGAAAACAGCCATTTGTATACGAGTATAATTTTAAATATCACTGTCTTTGACCGGTCGCTTCCTATAATTTTTTAGCTGTTTCAAAAAGTGATATTTGAAATCTTTAGGGCCGTCTTCCAGTGAAGTGGACAGCTTATGAGGCCTTGATGTATGGTAAATATACCACCAAAAGTGATGTGTAAGTATACCCGATTATTACCCGTAGCAATTTTCCAACAAGTTTTACCAATAGAATAAGAGGAAGGGTAAGTTTTGGGCTCGGTAAAGAAATAGAGAAAGATGTTTTTCATCCTCTCACGAGCGTTGGACAATGAAAATATTCTTCACTCCCCTTGAGGAATCGAACCTCAGACCATCGGATTCCGCGCTCCGATGCTCATACCACTGAGCCACAGAGACTCTACGACTCTATTCTCTTGCATACTGCAAGGATCAGCAATGTCGATAGAGTCATGTTTGTAAATAAAAATAAGAGAGAGAATCGGAGCGCGGAATCCGAAGGTCTGAGGTTCAATTCCTCGTGGGGACTCAAAATTTTTCCTTCGTCCCACAATCGTGACAAGACGAAAAACATCTTTCTCTAAGTTTTATCAGTTTCAATCAGGACATGAATTCTATGCTTTGTCAAAGAATACATATATTTTAGTTGTCGTATAAAATGTTTATGCCTTCAGTCACCCAATATATATTTGTTTGATTTGTCTTTCTGCAGATGGAGTTATGGAGTTTTGCTGTACGAGATTTTTACCATAGGTAACATCGAATGGAAATTTATAAGGCCCTGTCTATGTTTTTTGCTATATACCATGTTCAATTAAGCAATGTAAGGTGTTCACTTAGACAAACGTAAAAAGCTTCAAACATCAAATGACATGGGTGGTGTTTCAGTGAAGGTGGTTTTTTCGTCACATTTATATTTCGATGGTCTTATGGCTCTTCCAGGTGGTTCACCTTACCCACGAATGGATGGAAGAAAAATTGCAAACTTACTCCAGGAAGGATACAGGATGCCTAAACCACAACACGTTGATGAGGAATTGTAAGTGTTTTTTCAATTCGTTCTCTCTCATCCTACAAGGAAACGTTCTTTAAATCTCTAACAGATCATTTGAACAATACCAGGTATCAGATTATGATGAAGTGCTGGAAGAATGACCCAGATGCAAGACCAACTTTTACTGAATTGAAAAATCAGCTTAAGGACATGGAAACCCTACACAAGGTGAGAATTTTCTTCAACATGAAAGTTTCTTTTGACGTTAGACCGACTAACTTAGGCTTAGCTAATTAGGGTTTTAAACTTAATAGCGTTTAGCTTAGATAGCGTACTTTTTACGAAGTTGGGATTGCATCTTCTTGTTATGTCACTGAAGCTAGCACTCCACGAAAAACAAGGAGGAAGCGAACTAGAATGTCCTTGCGACAATTGACTCATTATGGTTATTTAAAAGATGGTAGGATTATTGCAAAATTGTATTGAGACGCACAAAGAGCAGCAAACGACACCGTAAAATACTTTCTTGAATTTGTTTTGGTGTGAAAAGTTGACCACTTGTGAGGATAAACGCTTATAACGTAAGAGGAACACTTTTTTAATGATGCCAATTATTATATTATTCTTTTCTGCAGAAGCTGATCAACATGACAATGTACGACAAGCAGTTGTATGCAAACGTCGAGGATTTAATGGTGTAGTTAGATAGATTTCCGCGGTATATGACCGGCTAATAGTTTGAACACTTTGCCACAACAAGTTTCAGGGCTGAATCATCTTTTCCTCACACGCTTACTTGGTAGAAAAAGCCATTTTGTGTTAAGCAATTAGGCTGGAACGTTATAACTCGATTGATTTTATATTCTTAAACGCTGTAACGCTTTTATCAGTTTACCGATAAAGTATACTCTCATTTTCTCTTTTACATGTTTAGCACTTACACGCATGCTCGACACAAGCGTTGGAGTTCAGTTTATTTTCTGACTCAATTCTGAAAGGCAGGATAGTGCAGAAAATATCCAATTAACTAGATTGATGAGATCTCGTTCTGTGTGCCGTAGTTGTCTGCAGTTTTAGTAAATTGCTAAAAAATTGTTTTGCCGCAAAACCCGCTTGGTTTTAGGAAAGCTATCCGGCGCATAAACTGCTTTCCCTAAGACTGCATCTACCAGCGATACTAACTCGAAATACTTTTACACTGAAAGTATTATTAATTAAAAATTAGCCTTATCCTAATAAAAATTATAATTGGCACATTACTTGTGCAATCGTCTTAGCTTTGAGAGATGAATTTGCTGAAAATTGTATATAAAATTTTGAAGATTTTTGCCCAGAGGGAAATGACTATTTCCTAAATTTTCTACGGGAAACGAAGTGTAGAGAAATTGTGAAATACATGGTATGGTAAGACCACAAGAAGCTAAATTTTAAGATCTGATTTATGCAGGTAAATAACTTTATCTCCTAGGATTTGTCGCCACAATCAGGAGCATGTCGCGAAAGTGTGATAAATATTTAACACCTACCATTAAAATGCACAGGTTTAACCCCTGGAGATGTTTATTAAATCATTAGTGCTCTCTCGAGTAGCCTGGAGAGGATAAAAAAAAAATAAAATAATGAGAACGGGTGCTGACCATACAATTTTGGAACAGTCAACAAAAGTTAGTGCTCTGGGAATTATTGGTAGTTATCGTCACGTAAACTGCGCTTTGTCGTGAAAGAGGAAATAAATGGATTTGCAACGGGACATACAGTGTACATTGCTATTACTGGCGTCCAGAGTATTGTCTTTGAAAAAACCACTTAACTTTTCACGTACAATTCCTGCAAATGCAAAGTGTAATTATAGTAAATGATGCGATGATAGCAGCTGCTGAAAAAAAAAAAAAACGGGCCAGGGGTGGGTTGGGTCGCGTACTGTTTTGTTGGTACCATCGCGCAGTTCATTTATTTCGTTCTGTTTTACTAAATGAACGCCTAGAACCGGTTAATGAATCGAAGTCCCCGCATTTTTCTTAATTCAGTGGTCTTGCCTAAGAAATGGACGTAAGCCGTAATCAAAGAACCTTTGTCTTTCGTACAATTACTGTATATACTTATTATAATATGTGCACTATATTTGACAGTTGTTCCATGAGCCCGCGCCTGATCTGAACTGGCTATACCAATCTCGTATCCACCAAGTCAGAAACAGGAACCTATGGAATAATTTACCGCACGACTTGACCAATGAGCTTGTACAGATGAAATGTTACCTCTAGATTCCTGTCGGTTCATTCTGTCAATTGGATTTAAAAAATTGACCCCATCAGAAAACCTGTGTAGCCAAAGAAAAGGGAGACGTTGAATTCCACGTGTTTAAAAAAATATGTGGATTAAGAATTTGATCGAACCCAAACCCAAACCCAAACTCAGAGGCTTCACGAAGCAGAAAAAAATTGTTAGGTTAATATGTAGTTCAGATTGACGCTGGAATAAAATATGATTTGTTAAAAGCTTCTTAATAGACACTCTGGTCTTTTTGTTTTATCGTTATGCAAATGAAATTGGTGTATTGAAGAAAACATTCAGGGAAAGATGACACCCGAGTCATGGGGTAAAAAATGCGGGGTAGAAAAGTTGATTGCTTTTAATAAAGCAAAATGGTACTCGGCTACGCCAATTGTTTCGTAGATTTTATCGAACACCAATTTTTCAATCAATACAACGGCCCCAAACCTGAACTCTACGGTCGCTACATCGACGACTGTATCAGCGCCACCTCCTCTACCAGAGGAGGACACTTCTTTGGCTTTTCTACGGTTAAGTTAGGCCCGAAGCTGAATGAAAATTCGACGCAAGTAGTTTATTCAGCTGTACACAAAATACATTAATCTACGATCGAAGAAACGTTGAGGGGTACGAAATACAATACTTACTACACAAGCATTCAGGTGTCTTTGAGTTCAAACTTATAGGCAAGCGAAACATTTTGTGTTTGTTTAACTGGAACAGAGTAAAGCTTGTGATCGAGGATAGCTTTCGTTTCAATATCCTGACCTCAATTTCACGCTTCGAGTGTACGAGTTAAGAGTTATATTCCTACTGAGACAAACATTTGGTTTGATCAGTAAAACGTTATACCCTAATGTTCAAATGTTTTGCTGCGTGGTAGCGAACGGAGAAACCAGTATTATGGTTGCTTAAACAGACCCGCAGTCGAAGTTGAGTTTTTGTAATGAAAGATCCTGTTAAAGTGTAGATATTTCGACACAAATTCTGTAATTCCTATAATGGAATTTTTAAGGTAACCGGTTGTTCTTTCTGTTGTGACAACGTTATAACTTTTCTTGACCATAAAGCGTTGACCTGAGGCTAGTGCTGTAAGTTAAACTTAAAATTTAAGAGAGTGTCTCTGTAAGAGCGAAATCCGTGTCTCAAGCAAAATCGACCGGGCCGCTCTTACAGAGACGTGCGTACGACTTTTATTCTGTTGGGACTCAAACCTACCACCTTCCGTTCATTACTTCGGACACTCTAACGCTTAGATACAGTAAACTTGTAGCAAGCCAGCCAGATTAACTATGTCCACGAGGGTAAACTTCCTGCATATTGCAAGCATATGATTACTGATATGTGATTCTTACTCGTAATGCTGCATTCATTAGATTTCTTACTCATTTTACTACTGCTAGGTGTTTTTGATCCAACTGAGCTTATCAATGGAATTCGCCAGCTGTACAAGACTCGCGAGGGATGGCTCCCACCGTCTCCATGGTGAGAAGAGTTTCAGTTTTTTCTTGGCTATATTTTTACAAGGCTCAAAGTGGTCAGAAGAAAGAAAACGAGAGGAGAAATCACTGACGTATTTGTTGACATGTCGTCAATACTAGACTCGTATGAAGAGTGTTCAGTGCCGAGAACAGTGTTGATTGAAGGAGAACCTGGTATAGGGAAAACCACCTATTGTAAAAAGTACGCCTACGACTGGGCCACCAAAAGGCAAGCACCTCAGGGCTGCGGCTCCACAGCATTCAAAGCAGTATTGTTGCTGAAGTGTCGAGAAACGCTTTCTGATGTTTGGGAAGCCATTGATGATCAGCTTCTGCCCCAAGAAATCGATAAAGAAGTCAAACAAAAATATCATTTTATTGATATTGGATGCATTGGATGAGTAACTATCCAGTAAATTGTCGGTTTTTACCGAATTAATTGAAGAAAGGTTGCTCCCCAGATGCCACATAGTTGCAACAGGAAGATAAGAAGCTGGGGAAGAGGTGAGAAAATGCTATGACACGCTGCTTCAGATCGAAGGATTCATTGAAGACCATGTGAGAGGATTTGTCACCAAGTACTTTAAAAAAAAGGCACGATTTAGCTCAACTGTACTTGGATATGGTTGAATGTGTCTTGAGAAGTTATAGAAAAAAGAAGGGACTATTACAAACGGAAGAAGACCGGACAGATCTCTACAAACCGCAATTGAATCGCTTCGGGTTTACTCAACGACAAATTGGATTTGAATGAAAGTGAATTGGGAAACCATGCCAAAGACTTGACTGAATTTGGATTTCTTGCATAAAAGTTTTCAAGAATTCTTTGCAGCCTTCTTCTTTTCTGCTCAGGTTCAAAGCAAAGAAATTAGACCTAACGAACTAGTTTCCTATCCAAGGTATTTTGTTAAACTTGAAGAGGTACTTTTGTTTTCGTGCGGAATTTTAGCCATGAAATGCGATGAACAAGTCGTCGATTTTGTACAGAGTTTAACAAACGAAGTCAACGAAAATGAAGGCAGTGGTTTAAAAGCTGTATTGGAGGCCATTAACGAATGTGAAAGACAAAAGAGTGATTTTCAATCACGGTCAGCAAAGTCTTTTAAAACTTGTTTGAATCTGACCGATTTGAATTTGTATTACAATGGTATGAGTGAAGCCGGCGTTACATCTATTGCTGAGGCCATCAAAGGCAACAAGATACTAACCAATTTGGATTTTTCTGACACTGGTATGAGCGAAGCCGGCGCTACATCTATTGCTGAGGCAATCAAAGTCAACAAGACGCTAACCAATTTAAATTTGTGTAGCAGGGGTATCAACAAGACGCTAACCAGTTTGGATCTGTCTGACAATGGTATGAGTGAAGCCAGCGCTACATCTATTGCTGAGGAAATCAAAGTCAACTAGACGCTAACCAATTTGAATTTGTAGAGGTAATCACATGATTTCGAGTTCAATTTGGAATAAATAAGCACGAGTACATTTTTACAAAGACTCACAAAATTGAATTATGTGAAGAGTTTCAGAGACCAAACACTTTATTTATCACCGGGGGAGGGACGATTAATCTTCCTTTTTTTTTTTTTTTTTTTTTTTTTTTTTGAGGGGGAGGGGGGTGATGGATGGGGTTTACATGGTTTTCAATGAACGGAGGCTGATCAGTTGCCGCTAACAGAGTTTTAAGGGGGACTATGGGAAATTGCCGCCAATTGACTGTCAATGAGGAATCATAAGTATATTTTGGGGGAAGCAGGTAAATTAAGTCGTGACGCAACCAAAATCCTCCAGCCCCCCCATAGGCGATAAAAAATGAGCGGCACCTTACAAAATGAAGCTAGTCTTTCTAAGTGTTTGACTCAGGATTCAATTCAGATTTTATCTTCACTATTTGAGCTTGCACAGATAAATTGCAAGTCATAGGAATAGGGTAAAAAATTCTTTAGTAGAGCTTTATGAAGTAATTATTTTGAAAACTTTATGTTTTTCCCTTGCAGGCGTCAGCTTAAAAATACATTTGAGAGCATTTATCCTGTAATTTAAAATCAGTCGCAAAATTCCTTTTTTAAATCCCCGCAGGACCATCCGACTCTCTGTCCATATGTTGATTGCGTAGACTACTCTGATCAGGTCAATCTAGGTCAGTCTTCTCGCCTAGCCAGTCTTTGGACGGATCGATGATGAAGACGGCAAAGAACAGACTCAAAGGCTTGGTTTACATGTTAGCTTTGCTGATCAGACTCCAACAATTAGTAATCAGAAGGAGGGAGGTTTTGATCTGGATTAAGTGGCAACTACGAGCGTTGAAGTTAATAGTTTCTGGCCGTGTTTTTAAGGGGGGGGGCGGGGGGAAGACGAACGCTTCACTCGTCGTTATTTTTTGGCAATAAAATGCGATTTGAAATCTGCCGTGCGTGTCTTGCTAAGATGCGTGACCTGTAGTAAGAGGTGGTATGAAGTGAATCACGCGTTGTTGTGTGCAAGCAACTCTAACGAAAACTCGTCTCCAGCTTTAGGAGAAAAAAAAGGTTGCTCATTTCTCATGTGCCTTAAAAGAATGTCGTTGCAATTTTTTTGAACGATCTTTCTTCCGGAGGCTGAGAAACGCATTGGAAAGCTAGTTTCATTGCGTGAAAGTGTTACTCGATTTTAGGTGTTATATTTCATTTGCGAATAATGTTATCTGCGCATGTCATTAACAACTCCCTTCTCTGAGGGGTGACGCTATATCGAAGGCATTCGTCGAGGGTAAGAGTACACAGTAATTTTGGTCAGCGGGGACATTATGAAACCCGCGAATATTGCGAAAGCCCGCGAAAGGATGACATCTTAAAACAGAAGACAATTTTTGATTAAGACACTAGAATGCGGAATGCGTAATGATGGCGGCGACTAATCATTCTTCTTTAAATAAATCGGAGATTGACTTCCTTGAGGAAAATCTTAAAAATTTTTCTGTTGAAAACCAGTACTTCTTGGGTTATTTCGACGGGAAAAGAGACGAGTTCGAGGATACGCTCGAGAGGTTTCTTCTTATTAGTTCCACATGCTTTGTAAAGCAGGCCTTGCACTCAAAGGAATTAAATCACAAGAAGTTTTCGAAAAATGGTAGCCAGGTTCTTTTATTTTTAGCTGATTTGTTTGCCTTTATCAATTCGGTGTGGGCCTCGTAGAGACTTGGTCTTTGGCCGCAATTTTGTAAAAACTTACGCAATGCTCCGGGCGTGAAAGTGTTGAAATATTTAAAAGTATTTCATATATAGGAAAGCCCTTGGAAATCACTCTAAGTGCGTAATCTAGTATACCGAAATACTTTTTCAAATTATACATTTGCAGCGTCTCCCGTCTTTGAACACAATGGTGGTAATGCACCGATCCAATTTTTTGGCAAACCGTTTACCATCGTAAGCATTGAAACTCGACATTGCCTCCACAGACCAACAAAGGTGAGAATTCCTTTTGAAAAAGAGTTTGAAATATAATGAAAAGTACCAATAGTATTCGATTTTTGCATAACCCGCGAAACTGTTATAACTTTTCTTGGTATTTTAGTGGAGGAATCCATCGAGCTTCTCGCATACTGAGGAAACAAAATCGGGAAGGTCATTTACATCCATTTACTTCAGAATTCCCCATAAAAGTAGGGTGTGTACAATTCTTGAAATTCCCGTTCGTTATTTTACGAATTATCTGACGTTTCAGTGTTGACAAATTTTTCGCATTACGTAAGTAAAAAACATTGAATTTCTCTCAATGGACTCAGGGCTGCGAGGAGAATTTCTCTCATAATTTACTTTTTAAGAGACGACATTACCGTCTTAAACTCAAACGTTACTGTCAGGCTTATTAGCGCATTGATAACCTAGTAAATAGCTCAAACATACTGAAAACATTTTTATTAGTTTTTGTATATCTTATCTGTGAGCCACGTGTGAGTAAACAAAAACAGAGAAGTGTAGTTTGATGGCTTGTTTTCATGAATCTAGGATTTTGGGAATCGCTATAAACTACGCGATCACGCATTTAGTAATATTTCTTCTTCTTCTAATGATTGATACTGGAAGAAAATAATAACGGTAGGTGTCATGCTATTTTATGTGCCCGTTATAAAAAAAAAATTTAAACTCGCATTTATCTTTCAGGTAAAAATCCCATGAAAATTTTTCAAAAGAAATATATCTCAGTGGTTATTTTATGATAACCACAAAAATACTCAAACAAAATCAAGAAACTGCCGTAGGAGCTCAAAGCTCCTTTGTTCAGAACGATCTTGAACAATTCTTTTTTGAATTTTTCGTGAGGAACAATTGCTGAAGCTTACATGACATATTTTTGGTTTAACCGCTGTACTATAAACTTGTGTGTTCGACCCTCGACTAACGCCTTCGATGTAGCATCACCCTTCTCTGAGTCTGTTGGAATACCTACCTTTTATGACTTTCTTCGTTCTCTCGACGGAAGATCAGGAAAAAAGGAAACGAATCGGTTTAAACTGACATTACTGTCCATGAGAAGAGTTGACCCGAAGAAAGAGCAGGTACAGACAAAATAGTAAAGTTATTCACTCCGTAACTTTAACTTTAACTTCAGTAACCCGTTGTTGACTTCCGGTATTTCTCTCGCGTAAATGCGTATGATTACGAAAATTTTAATACAAGCCTTTAAAAATAAGTGCATGGTGAAGATATACTTGACACATAAGCTACTTTTTTTCTTTTTTCAGGACGATTGCGTAGCCTCTTCACGAGCTCCGGGAGTAATTATTTCGTTTGAAGCACCGTTTTCGAGAAGATTGTGTGAGGGGTAAGTAGATTCATGAAATATGAATTGATGCGTACTAAAACGTCACTTTATTTGAATTTCATACTTCAGTAAGGATCTGTTTTGTACTCAGACCAGCTGTCTTACCTCTAGCAGTCGTTACTGATCTAGATTAAAGGGACAGGGAAATGCTTTAGTTAAGATTGGAACACATAATGCGTATCAGTGAGGGCGGAATTGCTGTTTTCGTAGGCGACAGGAAACTGAAACCGAAACCCTTTCTTCACAGTTCGATTTCCGTTGCTAGAGGATGACTAGCCTTCTCCAATTCATATCGAGTTAGGTATTATTTATCGATGATATTTTTTCGACAAAATTATTGTGCCTTTAAATTCAATCTGATAAACTATTGGACATGTGACCACTCACTCCGCCGGCGGAGTTAGTGGTCACATGTCCAATAGTTTATTAGATTGAATTTAAAGGCACAATAATTTTGTCGAAAAAATATCATCGATAAATAATATCTAACTCGATATGAATTGGGTGACACCGCTGGATTTTTTACCTCGAAGGCTCGGTTTATTCCTTTGGGCATTGCTTTCGGTGGCTGCCGAAAACGTGTCGAATGATTTCGGTTTTATTCGTTTCGAAAAAGGTGAGATATTTTGGAAGAAGACCAAAGGAACTGCGGAAGGTACTTCAAAAGACTTGGACAATAGTGTAATTAAGCTACCTTGCGCGAACAGACTTGTGATCTTGTATCCTTTTGTTTACATTGTCTTGAGATGAATGAACTCAAGATCGATAAACTGCAATCATTTGAATGGATTTAGTTTCTATTCACGGTGTATTTTTAGCCTTAATATGTTTTTAGGATTAAAGAGCGTCGCAAAAGATTTAAAAATGGATCTTGGACGAGTTGTTGTAATCACTGCGAAGAGCAAAAGCGAAAATAGTTTATCATTTCGAGCGCCGATCGTTTTGTTTTGATCCGAATGAGTGCACTTGAATTAAACTACTTCTTTATTATGTAAATATTGCGTGTCATAAATAGTGCTCGTGTTCGCGCGCTGGCGGTTCATTCTTTCACAACTTTCGTCTTGTTCGAATGAACTTGTTGTGATCTGACCGTGTTGTTTTATTTTTTCCACTGGATAAAAATATCTTAGAAAGCAACAAAGCAAGTTCTCAATGATTTAAGAACCCTGTTTAAAATCTATATTGGTATATTTATACCGCTTGTTCTCTTAACTTCACATCGCAAATACCGTACTATGTTAAAATACGCGAGCTCCGTTTGGGGGCGCGCGGCGCAAGCAATGTTTACTTCTACTTGAAAAGACATGTAAGCTGATAAGTGCTTGGGTTTGATCCGAGGTTGATGTCTTTGACATGTTGCCCAACACACCGGAATGCGTAGCAATTATTAGACATCAATCAAGCAGATTCCCGGGAGAGTTTATTTCATCTGTTAACAAAAGAAAAATATCTCACCTACATCAGAGAAGTTGCGCTCTTCACGATCTTCGGAAGCATGCTGGCATGTCGGCAAACTCATCGGAATGAATAAGTAATGAGAAAGAACAATAGCCTGAATATATGAATACTTAACAACCTCAATTTTTGAGGTTCACGTTTAATCCGCTATGGAGTTGTTTGTGACAATTAAGTAATATTTGGGCAAATCGTTCAGTCTTAGTTATAGTTAACTAATTTTCCACAAAATGTGACTCTTATTTGATGCATATAAGCAGATAAATCTAACAGTGCTAAAACTTAATATTAATAGAGAGGCTTTCTTATACAGAAAACCCAAAAGATAAGGAATATTTCCATAACAAATAACCATTGAGGAGGGTGGGATGGAAAGAAAATGGCGAATGAGGTTCTGTGTGCACTGAAGAGGCTATTGAGCATTTGAACTCTGATCCCAAAGCAATCTTTCTTTGTGCTTCAGCATATAGCTTTACTTTTCTAGTAACAGGAACCACTGAATAGTCTGCAGATGTTAAATTATGCAAGAGCCAATTCAAAGCTAAGTTTCCAAAAAACTATCAATGTTACATATTAGATTTCCTCAGTTTCCAGTTTCAACCTGCTCTGTTCTGAAGTTAGCAGACACATGCAGTATCTATGAATTGAAATATCTGAAGGTTTTACAATTATCGGATTCCTCTTGAGTTCAATTATTTTCCAACAACCCCTTTTGAGCATGGTTGAGTGAAACAGCCTTATGTCGTTTATGTCTTTCAGATTATCCTAAAGCTTTCTTCAGTTCATTACACTGTTCAATAGCAACAATTACTGCCTTAACCCTTTAACTCCCAGATCCAATTTGTAATTCTCGTTACTGTCAGTCATACAATTCTTATAATGTTAGTACATAGAATTTAATATTGGATCAACTAATTATCCCCAAATTGATATTTTTCTTAATTCTTGTCACTTATTTGGTTGATAATGTATTTATATTGCAAGGAGAAATTTGGTCTTGGTCACTCATGGGAGTTAAAGGAATAAATTAATAGCACCTTAAATGGAATTTTTGTGACCGTCAATATCTCTCACATTTGATTAATATTTATTTTATGTTTTTCTTTTTCAGAAATTATTACATGTCCATCATTTTCTGACTGCTCATATTGTGATTTTTTGAAGGCAGGAAATCTAAACAGGGTAGGTATATAATAATGTTTTTTTTCCATTTTTCCCTCTTTAAATATGATACATATATGTAAGGATTTTTTGGGTCTTATTCTCATGGGCATGAAAAATGTTTATGTTATTATGTGCCATTCTCTTTTTTTCATGAATATCATTTTGCTTTGAATATGAAAAATAATGTTAAAGTAGTAAGATAGGTCACTAATTAAATTTGCATCAGTCTTTACCCAGTGGTTCGATCCTTTGAATTTACGCTCAGGAGTATAAATTGAATGTTGTCATCCTTCAATAGTGTTTGACACCATGTCCTATTACGTTGCACCTTGCAGCTGAAATGCATCTAATGATTAAAAAGTTGCTTTGGTCATTACAGGTGTAATGACCAATATAGGATGCAACTGCTTGCTCTAATGCAAGACTCTGTATTTGTGACCATCTATATGATTTTTGGGAGAAAGGTGATAGCAAGCTTAAGCTCACAACACGCTTCTACTCAAAGACATCCATGTTTATAATTATCATGCAACTTCTTGATTAGCAAAAACAAAGTTGGAACATTTGGCTGTGAATGAGTTGCATTAGGATTTAAAGCAGACACTTCAATTACTTTTTTTCATGTAGAGGTTACTTTTGATGATGTTTATAGCATGTTAAAGCACAAAATCTAACTCAATGCGGGACGAATTGTGTAAACAATCCAACATGTTCAAGATATTCATAAATCAAGATATTCATAAATCACCAATATATATAGCTGTTAACAGCCAAAACGTTTGTGTAAAAGTATGTTTCATTGGATGGCCAGAGAGATTTTTAGGGGATGGTAAAAATAATGAAAACCATCGTGGCCCATACCATTTTGCAACTGCTTAAATGATGAAATTTAAAATATTTCGTATCTAGCCCAATCATGGATTTTTAGAATAAGGAGACCCTAGATTGTTTAAAATATAGTAATATGAAAGTTAACTTTGTGGAAAATGGCTAAGAGAGGCTGTTTATTTTTTTCCAATGAAAAGTGTATAAAAATAGCTGGCATGCTGAAAGGTTGAAAATGATTTAAGCAATGTATTCCTTAAGTCTCAGTAGAGGAACAAAACTAACAGAACTCAACACAAAGAAGAACTTGTGGATAAGATTTTTTCTAAAATGGATGTATTTCGTAAATGAGAGCAAGTAACATTATTTTGGTATGTCCATAACAAAAACAGTGTTTTGTTTTGTTTTCTCTGAAATTAAAAACCAGTTTTTTTTTATCAGCTTGACTCCTTGTTTACTTTTGAGGGGCCTAAACTTGAGTGTTGTAAATTATCAAAATCATGGAAAAACACAAGAAAAAGTAAATCTTACTTTATGTTATGGACATTACATGACAGACATTACATTATGGACATCACATCTTACATTATTTTATGGACCTTATGACTGCATGACTTTCATCATGGTAATTCTTTTGGGAGAAACAAATGCTACATGCATACCAATTTTGTTCAAATTTATCACATCCTAGTTTGCAGTGCTTTTAATTAAACACTGATAACAATAACTATAACAACAACTGTATATTAGCAGTAGCAACACAACGCTGGCATGAGGAATATAAATTTTCAAAAAATTTTGAGTCTGAGTGTGAATTAAGTTTACTGAAAAACATATTGTATTTAGAGTCAGTACCTTCTGCATCTGAAGATAATAAATTAAAATATAGCATGCAATGTTTCAGAAATTTAGCTTAGAACAAGCAATACTTCAACTTCCAAAGGCCATTGCACTGATAATACTATAGAGAAAGTTGTCAATTCATACAGTTCAGTGCAGTGTAACTTTCCAAAATAGTATCAACTGGCTTATTAAGAGTCAATGAATAGTACTCTTGCCAAAAGTTCAGAACAATCCAAGTTTAGTAATTAAAGCAGTGTTTAACTACTGCAATCTGCAGTTAGTTTGATTATTTATTTGCAAACATTTTCTTTTTGAAGATATTTAAAAAGCCTCTTAATATATGAAAGACTTGGAAAATTGAAATGTCCTGTGCCTTTCAGCTCTTTAGAGCCATAGAAGACTTTTCTCCTGTTGACAATATCAATATTGTTTCTTAGAGGCCAATTAAATATTTCCAGAACTTGGTGAAGAAATTTGATTTCAACCTCATCATCAGTAACCCTAAGGGCTCTTCCAATGTAAAACTCAGTGTCACACGAGAAATCTTCCTTGTGTCTCAGTAAGCAAGAATCAGAAGACAGCAGAAACATTAGTTAGAGCACATGCTCAATAAAACTGAATTGAAAGGAGCATGCTCTTAATGGGATACTCCACATACCAAAGTTACATGTACACCCAAGTGTAGTTTTAATATTATGGATATCAGCACAACCAGAAAAGAGATTTAACTTGTAATTGAGCCTGATTAAGATAAATTTATCAGTTTTGACGAAGTCAATTATTAAAAGTTTAGAAATAAACAAAAATACTCCCTTATTCTTACCAGTGTAAAAAAAAAAAAAAGTTCCACATTGATGAGTAGCACAATCACCATGCCCATAGGGGGTTGACTGCAAACTTTCAATGATTTCTTCTGTTTTACATTTTCATTGAAGCCAAATCTTTGCTTACAGGTAAAGTTCTTCTTATTGATTATAGTAAAAGCTAAAAATCAGAAAACCACATTACTGTCTTTGAGAAAATACCCGTGAAAGATGAAAAATCGAGCCAATTTTGGTTGTAACGCGTAACACAATCTCAGTGGTAAAATTTTTTAAATACATTTTTCACTGAAAAGAAAGCTCGTTTGAGCAAACAAATTACACCTAATGATAACACACAATAAACACTACATTTGAGCAAAACTTTGACATTTCAAGTTTATTAAAACGCATTGAAAAGATTCATCATTCTTAAGTATCCTTTGTGTAACGCTGGGTTTCAGAATTTGGAAGTACACCAAGTTGTTGTCCGCAGAATGACTGAACTGGAATCCTGTGGGAACAAAAACACATTAACCAGATGCTCATACGTGGTGTTCTAAAATAGCGAAAAATCAGTCTAAAGGATTGACTATAAACGGAGAAATATCAGTGTAAAACAGTCGCTACGGTTTTGTAAAACCTGATTACACAATAATATTTTTCATCAACTTACCTGCTCCTTCGCTACTATACTTCAAACACGGCAAAGTCGGGTTTCGAAATCGATAACACTTCAATGCTCATAAGTTTCTCTTGTCATTTCCAAGTTTTCGAGTCCATATCTTTAGAAACGGCCAAAATATTCACTTTTGACCAAGTCGCTACGCTTTTTACCATGTTGACGCCATATTGAGAACGGAGTCTCGCCACAAATGCCACCAAAAGCGCTATGAAATCTGCTGTTTGCTCCGCCATTTTCGCCTTCATCTTTTCATCTCCGTGTCGAAAATAGCTTGGTAACATTTCCTATTTTGGTTTCTGCGACGTTATCAAGGGTCGGGGGTCTTCAAGCTCAATAATTTTTCTGAGATTTAGCCATCTGTAAATATCGCTTCAAGTGCGCTTGACAAGAGGTATGGTTAACGAAAAGGAAGAAAAGCTTGCGAGGATCAAAGAGTGGAGGAGGAAAAAGCAGGAAAAGAATAGGCTAAGGAATCTAAAATATAATGAAAAGAATCGCAAAAAGAGAGCTGAATTTCCAAGAGAAAAATGGTGATGTGATCTTCAAGTTGTAAAAAGAGGCAGAAAGTCAGTTTTTAGAGTGCCAGTTGATCTCACTAGGGAGATACTAGCCTCCATGTAATACAAAATGTTATTATTTCTACTTTTTACTGTGTCAGTGAACTCGAAATTGATTATTTGTGAAAAAGACCACACCCACAAGGGATTATGGGTAAATACAAATTTGAATCAAATGTGACAAAAATAAAATAGTTTGAAATAAATCAGTTGTAATAGTAAATGTGAATTTAAAACAGACCTAAAGAAGTGATTTTGTCCCAAACTAGCAATTTTCACATTTTCCATACATGTTACAGAAATGGGTATGGTGATTGTGCTACTCATCATTGTAATATCCGTACCAAAGTTGTGTCCATTATAGGAAGTTTTTACCCCCAGGCGCAAAATCTAACTACAGAATAAGGGATACCACTAGATTTTTAAAAGGCTATATAAAGCAGCTTTCTTCTTATTATTATTATTAAATGATTTTTGTCTGAATTGTCAATTCACAAGAAAAAAGTGTCAAGTGAACACAAAAAATTGAAGGTTGAATTTTTTTTGTAATTTCTGTAACAAAGTTTAACACAAAAATTTTGGAAGCCTTTGTTAAAGGAAAGTTTCTTTACTGCTGATAGTCAAGTACCCTGTGAGGAATGTTTTTACAAATTATAAATTGAAAAGTGTGCTGAATAAGTTTGTTGAGGAAATTAGTTTCCAAAAAATTGGTCTCTGAATGTAATGTCTGTAACATGGAATTGCCCTCATGATTCTCAGAATAAGCACACATGCAAGAAACTTCTGTTTAGTAACATTATGATGTACAACTTTTGATTAATAGTTTAATTTCGGTTCTATTCCTCATAGGGACTCAGAATTTTTTCTTTGTCACACGTTCTGACAAGACAAAAGAAACATTTTTCTTTATTTCAATATTGGAGTTGTTACACCACAAATGTTCTTTGGCAACAAAGGAGAAAAAAACATTGTAACTGTATAAATTTTTTGCATACAAACAATGTTCATTTTTGGAAACTATACAGCTTTAAAATTCATTTGTTACACCCATTTGTTTACCAGTATTTAAGCTTACCCATCACAATTGAGTGCTATTGAGGTCAAAAGGAAAAGATGTGGATGAACAAAAGAAATTTCTAGCTACATGTGCATTAGTTTTTGTTTTTCTTGAATTATTATCATTTAATTGCGTTATACTGTGTTAACTTATTATACGCTAAGCGTGACATCAATCAGACTTTTAAAACCAAAACAAAGACCAAGCATGCAAACTTGACCAAAACAAAACATAGTGTGTCCTTTATTGTTTAAAAATAATATATGCACATATTGAACATGCTAAGCATGTTGTGTTGGGGTGTTGTTTGTGTGTGTTATCACCTTTGTCCCTGAAATCATACCAAGGGTCACATTCAGTCAGCCATTGTGTATAATGGTAGTTTTTGTTGTTGTTGTGGTTGTTGTTGTTGTTGTTATTGTTTTTTTATTCCAGTTGACTTTTAATAGTTATAATTAAATAAATAAAGGGGGTAAGTTTCTAAAGAGACTGTGGTGCTGCCTGTGTGGGAGAGTATATACCAGAATAATTAAGTATTATCAACTGAGTTGATAAGGTTTAAAAAAATGAAAATTTGAGTGTTAGCCCTTTGTCAGAGCAATTGGGGTAACAAATATATATAACCTTATAACCTTGGGGCACCTGTTAGTGCCCTTGTGACTGTCTTTGTCTTTCATAACTGATATGTGGTAACTGTTGTTCTGCTGCTTCACTTTTCAGACTTTCTTTATCCCTGATTCAAGGGTTATTTTCTTGAACCCAGGAAACTCTATACAAGGTAGAAGGTCTTGCTGTTTTTTTTTCTCATTTTTGAAACTTGCCTTCATTTTGTCAATCTGTATGTATTTAATAATTTATTTGCTGGGAATAATTGTGTCCTGTTTCCATATGTTAAAATTCTGCATGCTCTCACTGCACTCATATCCATGTGAGTATTAATTATTTTGTCTGGTAATTTTATGTCAAGAACTATGCATAATATTACTTACCTAAAATGTGCAAATATTGGTAACCAGAAGTAGTTATAATATAATTATGGTATTGGTATTGGTACAGTCTTGGGTCTGGTCATGGAACTACAGGTTTTGCATGGTAATCAACCTGTAAAATGTGCACTGATTTTTACTGCTACTGATCAATCTCCTACCACAATGAAGTTACTGTGATGCTCCTTAAATAGTTGATCTACTCTTGAGAGTGGTGGTGTATGATATCCTTTGGAAGCTCTGCAGTTCTATAAGTGTATGTCTGGTTTCTGTCATTATTGTAGGGCTGCAATGGCCAATAGAAGTTTCATATGAGTGTATATGGAGCTTTGCCTTAGGGCAGCTGGCAAATATTTTTTCTCTCATGTATAACTGACTTGTGGGCTGTGTTCTGCAGATTTGTATGGGTTTAGTATCTTGGTGAAGTGTTAGGGAAACCTGATTTTATGTTTAGACATTTGTCACTTGTGGTTAATCTGATAATACTTGCATGCATTATCATAAAGGAGATTTCTGACTGGTTTTGATTTATTATGCAATTGTTGGTCATTACTTATGGAGCAGTAGGTGTGTATAATCACCAGGTAGTGGTGTTGCATGGTGCTTGTGATGACTATCAAACTAGTTTATTCCCACCACAATGTTGTATAATATCAATGGTTTGTCCTTCTTGGAGTGGTGGTGGATGTGCCTCAGCAATGTTGTTAATAACTATTTTTCTAGCTTGTAATTGCTGTGGTCATTCTAGGAGTGGCCATGAAGGATGCATATGCTCAGTCTGATCATGCAATTATATACTGAATGATATATATCTTTCTTTTCTGGTGGGCAATGAGAGATTTTATTTTCCAAACACAGCAACCCCTTCTGACTGTGTTTAGATGTTTGTTTTCCTGTATATATTGGTTAGAGGCACCTAGAAAATATGGCTTTGGCACCAGTAACAAATGGCTGGGATTGCTGCACTTAACCTTATAATGGTGGCCAGAGCTGCTTCTTACTGTTATATGTTGTAAATGTTTTAAAGTGGTGGTGTATACTGAGACTGACTAGTTTATCCTGATGTCTGGGACTTTGTTTGTGTAAAGATTAATGCACCGGGACACCAATTTGAGAGGTAAAAAGTGTCACTCTGATGCTGAGTTAATCCCTAGGTTGTTGGTGAGAAAATGCATTAATTCAGACTGAGTTCCCCTCTCTTACCCTGGAATATGGAAAAGGTCTAGTCTAAGAGTTGTTTATTTTGGTAATTGACTGAATAATTAATGCCAGTGGTTGAAGACCTGCCAGCAGTTTGTGACGGGGGTGCCAGATTAACCTAGTAATTAATGGCCTTGCCTTGCTCACAGTTGCTGTTTACTGGCTTAGTGGTGGGTGGAATCAGCTGAAGTTTTATAATTCAACTTCTTGTGGTGATTCAGATTTCTGACTTTGTCCCATGTACATGACAGGGCATAAAATATCTTTCTTCTGATAAAACAATGTTTACCAAGTTGGTAGGAAACCTCTTTCTGGAATTTAGCTCCAGTTCTAGAAGTTATGTTCCTGCTGGTCACATGATAGTGCATGCTAGTGATCCCATGTGGCTTCTTTGTCATTGCAGGTTCAGTTGCAAATGGAGGTTGCATCCCCTAAATTTTTGGGATACTGCATGTAGAACAAAGTTTTTTGTTGAGTTTCTTTTCCCTAACTGTAGTGGTAACTGCAAGTGGTGGGTTTTGCTGTTAGGCACATTTTGCTGGTGGAGGTGGTAATGTTATAGAGACTTCTAAATCTGTTGACTCAGACTTTTTTGTTCCATGAACTGGGACACCATATTTTGTACTGGTGCACAAGTTTCAATGACCTTGTATTGTATCAGTAACAATTAGAGTTACCTTCATGTGGCAGAATTAGTACATAACTTAAAAAAGGTGCATTTAATAACAGTGACTGTGCAATCTGTTCTCAAGGGCTGTACTGATCTAATATCAATAAGCAGAGAAACCACGAATTGCCTGAGTTTTAAGAAGGCTTTTGATGTTCCCAGTTGTGATAGTGAAGTAGAAGCTGGTGAGGAAATCTACAAATTCCTTCTGAGTTGCTCCAGGAATTTTGGTACTGGAAGGGAGACCTGGTGTCAGGTTAGGTGATATACCTGTGAAGAATTGCATTTACTTTTCCATTTAGAGTGATGATTAATACCCCATATTGCCTAATGCCATAGAAATTGGGATAGTTAAGGTGTGTTACATGGATTTTGCCTTCTAGCTGTAGGCTGTCATTAAGTGATTTTTGTAAACTCACTGACCTGAAGTAATATCGTTTCGGTATTTGTTGTGTTAGTATTTCCTGGTCTAGTCATGGAGTTGGTTCCATCGGCTGACCTGGTAACACACTGATTCCCGTATTGATGACAATTTTCCTAACACAGTGTAGTTTGCTTGTGGTTATGTACTTCTTGTCCTTGTTGGGATGGTGATGGATAATACTTCTGCAGTTATGCTTCAAATGACCAAGTTGGTGCAGTGATCTTTGCAGGGTGGTACATGGAGGTTGTGTTGTCTTGCTTTGATGTTACACTGTGGTCTATATGTTTGTGTCAGCTTGTGGATCACATAAGAGTTATGGAGGTTTTCAGGTTTATGTATAATAGTCGCGCTGGCAATGCTCGGATCTTTTTGAAGCTACATGAAGTAGTAGAAACGTGGCTTTTGTATTAATGCTGGTGGCATTGTTGTTGGACTTGTCCTTGCTCTGGAGACTGAAGCTGCTCTTAAATCACTGGTGATTCTTTTATCAAAAAGAGTCATTATGTGCCAATTGAGGTGACTCTGGTTTGAGTGGTAGTGGTATTGGCTTAATGCGTATGGCTTTGCCTTTTAATGCGTTGAGCATGTCTTGATTTTGTGTGTTACTCGATTGTTAGTGGTGATTTTAGTTCTCGTGTGGTAGCAGTTTCGGAAGCACTGAGAGCTGGCGGATGTAGGGGTTAACGGTTTTGGTTTTTTTCATCTCTTCGCTGACAAATTATAGTTGGTGATGTTGTCGCAGTTACTACTCCTAGATCAATTTTAAAACTTTCCTATGCAGTGGTCCATTGGCAATGTTAAAGGTGGTAATGTGCCAGAACGTGATGATCTGCACGCGAGTGGCTTGAATTTAATGCGTAACAGTGTCGGTGATTATTGGGAAATACGTGTTTCGGGATTTTTGTTGTAGTAGCATAGCTAGCTTATTTGTGTACTTTGGCAGCTGTTCCACATTGAAATCTTATAGCAGACGCTAATGTCCAGTTTTATCTTCTTTTTAAGCATCGATAAACAATTCAGACGTATTTAAGGTCAATTGGTTTGCAATACGACACTCAAGGTAAGGTTACGTGCTGGGTTATGAAAGATTTCAACAGATGCTTTTATTATTAGTGAGGGAGAGGTCTTGGATTGGTAGATATCAAGAAGATGCCTGACTTAAAATATTCAAGAATATTATTACACCTTATGTCGACCTTGGTATTTAGAAGGCAGATTCCATTCCATTAAGAATCAAACGTCAACGAGCCACCAGAACTGACTGAGTTTATGACCCCCGAGAGGAAATAAAAACTATTTTTGGTGACTCCTTTCCCCTCAAACTTTCAAGTCATGTTTCATTTCTGCCGTTTATGTCTCTAATTGTTGCTTTGTAAACTAAAAAACAAAACTCTTTCTTAATCTAAAAACTGGGTTGAGATGAAAAATCTTAGATTAAATCTCTTGTTAGGTTCTTTCGTTGGTGTTCCTTGCTCCAAAGGATTTAGAAAATGATATCACGATTTGAAACCATTCTCGGTCTCAATTGGCTATCAGGATTTTTCTTTTTTTCGAATGGGTTTGATTAGCATCACTTAATGTCAATTCTCTGTTTGACAGGTCATCCTGGAAAAGTTAGTATTATGGCTATGGCTATTTCACCATTTGCGTCTACGAAAGAGACTACCAACTATGCAAGGTTATGCCGCCTCCTGGTGGATGTTGGATCTCAGGTGCTTCGGTCCACTTTTGACACAATACATCCACCAGCGACTCTACATACAGTTTTGGGAAGTACCTCAGTGCATTACGCCACATTGAAATCACTGTACAAAGGGAGGAACAAAGTGCTGAATCCCACGCAATGGGGAAAGTTGTACCCTTCTCACGCACCTGTGTCTTCTGCTGCCTTCGATATCACACTTCTAACGGTGCTTCTTAGAAATATCTGTGGTTTGGGCCCTCCTGCCAATGGATGGGATCGTCTTCCCCCAGCTACAAACATAAGCATCGCAGATGACATCGCCAGAGTCAAGTATTACAGGAACACTGTATACGCCCATGCTTCTCAAGCCACTGTGGATGACAGTAGTTTCAGTGCTTACTGGAAAGAAGTAAGAGAAGCTTTGGTGAGACTGGGAGGAGCTCATTTGAGAGTTGAAATCGACAAACTTGAGCACGACGGCATGGATCCAGATATGGAGGAGCATTATCGTGGACTGATGAAACAATGGAAGAAAGACGACGACAGCATCAAAGACAAGCTTGAAGAAATTGAAGGTAAGAAAAGCATTGTGTACTGTCAATGAGGATGAACCAGAAGGCTACAAATGTATATATTTTCAGTTAGCACAGCAGTGCAGGCGAGCTCATGAAGTTTTCATTTCGGTCGGAACTAGTCTTATATTTGGAAGGTATTTTTGCGTCATGTGTGAAAAATGAAGAATTAGCCCCAATGTTTAAACTGTGTGTTCATTTGTAATATTTTGGTCTGTTCGGGGTACTCGTGTACAATTGCTGGACTACATTTTTGTGATTTCTAAGTGTCCTATTGAGTTTGATCTGTTCGGAATCGACTAGATATTGACATAGGTATCATTCTTTTATCTGTACGTAAACGTGAAGCTGTGATATAATTTTGCTTATGAAAATGCGCATACCTTTTGAAATTTTCAGATTCGCTGGAAAACATGAGAAGAAACTTCAGAGACGCAACTGACAAGATAGAGATTGATATGAAAGAGGTGAAAGAAAAGCTTACTAGTCTGACGGCCTCAGCTGAAAAAAGCACACAAGAAGGTTAGTTGGTAGAAAGAGCTACTCACAGAAAAAAGGTTATGAAGAGCGACACTGTTTTTTTGAGTACACGACGCAGCTCTTGTGCATGATGACGGTAATCGCTGGATGTCGGCCAACACAGCATACTTTGGTACTTTACTGGTCTAAGGGCACACCCTGGCCACCACTCGCACTTGCCATACATGAAGATATTCTATAGTGTGTGGGATGCCACGGAATGTGAGATATTCTGCCCTGGCTACCTCTCGGATTTGATGGTGTTTTGACACCACTCATACATATGTATGATCTTAGGCGAGATAGGTTATCGTTCTTTTTTTTCGTATCATCTTTCTCATAATGAATCTAATTTCATGTTCTGCGATTTTTGTCACGCGTGCCATGAGCTCAGAATATTCAACATGTTGAATAATTTCGTGCACGAGTGAACATTGACTCACAGTGTGCGCGCGTTTTGAGCTATCAGCTCAGGAATCAATGCGAACGCGCATGCGTCCTTTCCATGTTTTATTGAAGTCAAGATGGCCGATGTCGGTGAAAATCTAGATTCAAGCTCGTCGGAGGATGAAGAGGTTTTGCTTACCCTTTTAATGCTGCGACGAAGACGAAGACGCTTGAGAACAGCTAACCGAAAGACGTGGGTAAAATCTTGGGTCTCACGCCGCCAAACCCAAGGGGCATGTGCAAATATTGTTCGCGAATTGAATTATGAAGATCCAGAAAAATTCAGACAATATCACCGACTAGAAAGAACTTCATTTGAAGAAATTTTTTAGCGTTGATATCCCCGTTGTTAAAACATGGCAAAGACGCATGCGCGTTCGCATTGATTCCTGAGCTGATAGCTCAAAACGCGCGCACACTGTGAGTCAATGTTCACTCGTGCACGAAATTATTCAACATGTTGAATATTCTGAGCTCATGGCACGCGTGACAAAAATCGCAGAACATGACACCGCACACTTGAGGAAACAGCTTACGCCAACAGCCACGAGTGACGCTCAGCTCAGCTGATAGCTCTAGTGTGCGCCGGGCTTTACAGACGGGTCTCTAGGTTTCGTTTGCGTTTTTTTTTTTTTTTTTTTTTGCCCAATAAAACACAGCAGTATAGTATAACTCATAATGTTTTCATTTTGGTTGGAACTAGTCACATATTTGGAACGTTAGTCCAGCGTTATGTGTGAAAAATTAAGAATTAACCCAAATGTCCACCGTGTGTTTTCATTGGCAGTATTTTTGTCTGTTCGTGGGTACTCGTGTACAACTGCTGGAGTGCATTTTTGTGATTTCTAAGCGTCTTATTGAGCTTGATCCCTTCGGAATTGAGTAGATATTGACATAGGTGTCATTGTTTATCTGCACGTTAATGTGAATTTGTGAGGTAATTATGCTTATGAAATTGCGCTTATCTTTCTTACCAATGCAGATTCGCTAAATGACCTCAGAGATACAACTGAGAAGATGGAGATTGAAATGAAGGAGGTTAAAGAGACGCTTTGTAGCCTGACGACCACAGTGGAGAAAAGCACAGATGAAGGTTGGTTGCTAGAAATAGTTACTCACAGATAAACTGAACTATCAACAGGGATTCCGTTAACTTGAGTACAAAACACATCTTTTGAGCATGACCACATTATTCGCTAGATGTCGGCTAATTTAACACTTTTCAGGTAATGTATTGTTGTAAGAGCACATCTTGGTTACTAAGATAAACCTACTCTGGCTACAAATGAAGATACCAGGTAATGTGTGGGATGAATGGGATGGCACGGAATCTCAGGCTACCTCTCAGATTGGATAGCTTTCTGACAGCACTCATGCACATTTGGCCGAGAAGGGTTATTGCCTTATTTTAGTTTTACTTTTGTTAAGGACATAACGAATCTAACTTCCTAATTCGTTACATTTTACCTGCATATTCTTGAACAGAGTAATGCAATCCTTTCTCCACTTAAATTTTTTGTAGAGTATTCCACTTTACATGGAAAATATTGCTGAATGAGGGCTGTGTTAGTAAAAAGGGGCAGGAGAAGGCGTATGTGGTTATTTTAATTGTCCCGAGCGAAAAACTGTGAACGAAACTTCACAATGCATTGCAGGCGGACCTTTGGTTTGTGTCAGCGTTTTCCTTTTTCTATGAGTAAACGAAGTGAAAACGAGGGCGGAAAAGCGTTCTTTGGTTTTTTTAAATTAGTTCTTACAATGTTGCTTTTTACCGACAAAAATCTAACTCAGACTATCGACTCTAATGATATCAATATTTATCTCCAGAGTTTCACTATCAGAAACCGCTGAAGCCGAGCCATAAGTTTTTTTCGAATGTTGTATAAAATTTAAAAAAGTAACAACAACAACAGAGGAAGGGAAAAGGATCTATTTAGTTAACTTTTAATGAATAAAGTGACTCACTCGGACTAAAAATTCCAATGTTATTCCACGAAAGGGTCTTTAGAGAAAATGATTGGCGAAATGGTAAAGATGGACAGCGAACTGAAAGAAGTGAAGGAAAAGCTGTGTACTTTGACAGTCTCAGTGGGAGAAAGCAAGGATGAAGGTCAGTTGAATTATACAATAAAAGTCATCCTGCTTAACCGCAAATTTCGCCGTAGTCAACATGGCCTGTATGTGAGAGAGGGAGAGATCATCCTATGAGAAAGGGCTTCAGTTTTTCAATTTAGACAATCTCTGGAATAATCTCTGCGGTGTACTTTCACTCCCTCCAATTGTTCAAACTTTCACCCGTAATTAGCTTGGAAAACTTTATATTTTGATTAGAGTGGAGAACGAAATAAAACGAAGTACAGTTTTAAAAAACATTGGCATTAAGTTCGGCTCGATGTTAGAAATTAACAGAGCAGGTTCGACTGTATTTACAAGCCATATAGCTTTTGGTCAGTAAATTGACATGAATCATACATTGATACCTTTTTCATCGTCCAAGTAATTTCTTTGGCAGTGGTGTCGTACTCGTTCACTAATTTAAATTCAGTGCCGAATACCAGTAGCATTAGATGTAATCCGTATATTTCTGAATAAAATAACTAAACCCTTCCTGCGCTCATATTGTGGAGTATTCAATTCTACATGGGAAATTAGTTGAATGAGGATCGTCTTTAGTAAAATAGGTTCCTAAGGAAAAGACTGTTGGCAAAACCTCCCACTTCATCGCAGGCGAACCTCCATTTTTTTGCAGCATTTTTGATGAAACCGCGTGACAAAGAAGGCAGAAAGGCGTTGTTTGGTTTTCATTTATTAGTTCGTAGTCTCGCTATATCCCGAAAAAGCCTTGCTCAGACTACGGCTCCAATGATATGAATATCTATCTCCCGAGTAATTTATTTTACGACAGAGTTTCACTGTTAGACACCGCTAAAGTCGAACAAACAGAATAGGTTCAGCTGAATTCACAATCTAAATGGCTTTTAATCAGTAGGCATGAATCATACACTAAAACCTTTTTGAATCATCCGAGTAATTTCTTTGGCAACGGTATCGTACTCGTTCGCATATTTAAATTCGGTGCCGAATACCAGAGAGGTACCACAATTTTCAACGCTGCATTCATTAGATTTCTTACTTATTTTGCTACTGCTAGGTATTTTTGATCCAACTGAGCTTATCAATGGAATTCGCCAGCTGTACAAGACTCGCGAGGGGTGGCTCTCACCATTTCCATGGTGTGAAGAGTTTCAGTTTTTTCTTGGCAATATTTTTACAAGGCTCAAAGTGGTCAGAAGAAAGAAAACGAGAGGAGAAATCACTGACGTATTTGTTGAGATGTCTTCAATACTAGACCCGTATGAAGAGTGTTCAGCGCCGAGAACAGTGTTGATTGAAGGAGAACCTGGTATGGGAAAAACCACCTATTGTAAAAAGTACGCCTACGACTGGGCCACAAAACAGCAAGAACCTCAGGGCTGCGGTTCAACAGCATTTAAAGTGGTATTGTTGCTGAAATGTCGAGATATCCACTCTGACGTTTGGGAAGCCATTGATGATCAGCTGCTGCCCCTAGGCATCGATGAAAAAGTCAAACAACAATTTTTTCAGTTTATTCGTGAAAATCAGTCCAGCATTTTATTGATATTAGATGGATTGGATGAGTCACCATCCGGGAAATTGTCGATGTTTTCCAAATTAATTGAAGGAAGAGAACTCCCCAGATGCCACATAGTTGCAACAGCAAGACACGAAGCTGGAAAAGAGGTGAGAAAATGTTGTGACACGCTACTTCAGATCGAAGGATTCACTGAAAAGCATGTGATAGAATTTGTCACCAAGTACTTTAAAGAAAGGACGGATTTAGCCACCAAGCTCTCGCAACGGATGTCGCGAGATAAAAACCTTAGAGAAATAGCGGCCAATCCTCTAAACACAGCACTTCTTTGCCTTTTATGCGAAGAGTTTGAGGGCACACTCCCCGAAAGCAGAGCTCAACTGTACTTGGATATGGTTGAATGTGTTTTGAGAAGATATAGAAAAAGGAAGGGACTACTAGAAACGATCGAAGACTTGACAAATTATTACAAACCGCAATTGAATCACCTTGGAAAGGTAGCGTTGAATGGTTTACGAGACGACAAGTTGGATTTTAATGAAAGTGAAGTGAGAAACCATGCAAAAGACCTGACTGAATTTGGATTTCTTTCAGTGCAGCCTGGTGCCAGCAAACTGAGACAAACATTGCATTATGCCTTCTTACATAAAAGTTTTCAAGAATTCTTTGCAGCATTCTTCATTTGTTCTCAGATTCAAAGCAAGGAAATGAAACCTGAAGAACTAGTTTCCGATCCAAGGTATTTCGTTGAACTTAGACAAATACTTTTGTTTTCATGTGGAATTTTGGCCATGAAATGCGATGAACAAGTTGTGGCTCTTGTAAAGAGTTTAACGAATGAAGTCAACAAAAATGAAGGCCGTGGTACAAAAACTGTATTGGAGGCCATCAACGAATGCAAAAGAGAAAAAAGTGATTTTCACTCGCAGTTATCGAAGTCGTTTGGAACTGGTTTAAATCTGACCAATTTGGATTTGTCTTACAATGATATTACTGATGCGTGTGCTACATGTATTGCTGAGGCAATCAAAGTGAACAAGACGCTAACCACTTTGGATTTGTCTTTCACTGGTATTAGTGATGCGGGTGCTACATGTATTGCTGAGGCAATCAAAGTGAACAAGACGCTAACCAATTTGTATTTGCGAAGAAATGATATTAGTGATGCGGGTGCTACATGTATTGCTGAGGCAATCAAAGTGAACAAGACGCTAACCACTTTGGATTTGTCTGAGAATCGTATTAGAGATGCGGGTGCTACATGTATTGCTGAGGCAATCAAAGTGAACAAGACGCTAACCAATTTGTATTTGTCTGAGAATGGTATTAGTGATGCGGGTGCTACATGTATTGCTGAGGCAATCAAAGTGAACAAGACGCTAACCACTTTGGATTTGTCTTTCACTGGTATTAGTGATGCGGGTGCTACATGTATTGCTGAGGCAATCAAAGTGAACAAGACGCTAACCAATTTGTATTTGCGAAGAAATGATATTAGTGATGCGGGTGCTACATGTATTGCTGAGGCAATCAAAGTGAACAAGACGCTAACCACTTTGGATTTGTCTTTCACTGGTATTAGTGATGCGGGTGCCACATGTACTGCTGAGGCAATCAAAGTGAACAAGACGCTAACCAATTTGTATTTGCGAAGAAATGATATTAGTGATGCGGGTGCTACATGTATTGCTGAGGCAATCAAAGTGAACAAGACGCTTACCAATTTGGATTTGTCTTGGAATGGTATTAGTGATGCGGGTGCTACATGTATTGCTGAGGTAATCAAAGTGAACAGGACGCTAACCAATTTGTATTTGTCTGAGAATCGTATTAGAGATGCGGGTGCTACATGTATTGCTGAGGCAATCAAAGTGAACAAGACGCTAACCAACTTGTATTTGTCTGCGAATGGTATTAGTGATGCGGGTGCTACGTGTATTGCTGAGGCAATCAAAGTGAACAAGACGCTAACCAAGTTGGATTTGTCTTTAAATGGTATTAGTGATGCGGGTGCTACATGTATTGCTGAGGCAATCAAAGTGAACAAGACACTAACCAAGTTGTATTTGTCTCGGAATGGTATTAGTGATGCGGGTGCTACATGTATTGCTGAGGCAATCAAAGTGAACAAGACACTAACCAAGTTGTATTTGAGAAGAAATGATATTAGTGATGCGGGTGCTACATGTATTGCTGAGGCAATCAAAGTGAATAAGACGCTAACCAAGTTTGATTTGTCTTAGAATGGTATGTCTTGCTGAGGCAGGGTTTAAACAACTTTGAAGTAGAAGGGCACTGCCTTTAAAGTAGGCAGGTACCTTTGAAAGTTGAGGGCCGAAGGCCCGAACCTCTAGCGGGGTCCGGGGCCATGCTCCCCCGGGAAATTTTTAAAATATAAGTCTCCCAGAAACGCAGTTTCCTGCGATCTGGAAAATAAATCTTCTTGTAATGATGCATACTTAATCTATTATAATAAAAAAGAATGGTACTCTGGGAGAATTTGTTTATTTCACTGTTGTTTTCGGAGCCTCTTTTTATCCTACAGTTACAAGTTAAAGGTCCATTTCCAAACTTGATGCAACTCGCGCCGCGACCCAACTTCCTGTACCACGAAATTCCCAGATCACTGAAAACCTTCTAAAATCGTCTTTCTCAAGAGCCATCCTGAACATATAGTCAACAGTTTTACGGTAAATACATTCGGCGTTCGTTATTTCACTGTCTTCTTATAGTATTTTGAATTTTGTCTTGAAGAATCCGAAGAAAAATTTTTTTTAAGTGTCACGCTTGGAGCTCTTTGTACTCTGTGAAGAGTCGGCGAAAAGGACAATATTCAAATTTTTTCACTTTCTAGAAGCGCTTGAAGATTCTAAATGAAGACAAAATACTTCCGATAGAAACTGGTATTTTCCAAAGAGAAATATGGAAAAATATCAGACTGCCGGACGTTTAGTTATTTGAAGACTGTGTCCGGTAGTGTCTGGTGAAAATTTTCTTAGTGTCACGCTTGGATTTCTTCGTACTCTGTGTACAAGGTCAGCAAAACGGAGAACGTTGGCATTTTTTCACTTTTTAGAAGCGCTTGAGGATTGTAAATGAAGGTAGAATATTTTCCAATGAAAAATTAGTATATTTCAAAGAGAAATATGAAGTTGATTGAGGACCGTGTCCAGCCGTGTCATTGAAATTTTAAGCGCTTGGATGGCTTCGTACTCTGTATACAGGGTTAGCGAGAAACATCAAGTTCGAAATTTTAGGCTGCCTGGAAGCGCTTGAGGATTGTACATAAAGGTAGAACATTTTCATATAAATATTTTTTGGATTTCGGAAAAGTATCGCTCTGCCGGACGTTGAATTATTTTAAGTGTAGTCACTTCATTGCAGGAACTCGAACGTCAGCGACACTGACAGTTTGCGTTACAATTCTTATTTGCTGCTTTGCATGGACAATAACCCCGACCACTCTTTCGAGCGCAAGTTCCTCTCCACGGGCAGAAAACTTCAACTGACCCTTGGTCCTATTTAACAGGGATGGCAAACTTCAATTAAAAAAATTGATGAATGAATGAAAACGTGGTGGATCAACATTTTCACCTTCTTCGAAATGCTCGCAAGGATTTTCGCGTTTCTCTTTAGCAACAACCGATCCATTAGCGTTTACTGCCTCGGAATCTACTAAATCAATAGATTCATCCAATTCCATACCGGATTAAAACGTGTAGAACTGTTTTAAACAGAATTATTTTGATAAGCTCTTCAAATTCGTTCATCGAAGAAAAGGCAGAAGGTATTTGAGACCTGACTAGGTAAAAATAACTGACCAATCAAAGGCGCTATTTAAACAAAAGCGGTGGTTCAAAACGAAAAAAAACGACTGCGTTGGCTCAAGGTTGGAAATGGGCCTTTAACTTCAGCTTAGAAAGTGATAAAGTGTGAAACTGACACTTTGTAGTTTATGAAAACTCAAAGTCAGAGCCGCAATCAGAATCTTCGGCATCCAAATCTGGCAGCTCCAAGGCTTTGGAGATTTCCTCTACCTCTACCTCTTCCTCAACAGAATAGAATAACTGGGCGTCATCATCAGTTGCCTGTACACCAACATCAGGTGGAACATCCTCATTTACAGATCCTGGACCTGGTGGTGGTGCTGTGTTGAAAACCTTTGGAGGGCGCTTGCGACGAGGTTTAGCTGCTAACCAGAACGAAACAGCCGAATTAAGAACAAGTCTCTGTAAGAATCAAACATCTTGGGGAATGAAAAATTTCAACCCCCCTTCAAATTTTGCGTGCCGTAAGGCGCTCAGGCGGGATGCGCAAAAATACCCTTTATAAAGGTCGCAGCACTCTTGTTGCCATGGTAACAACGGCTGCTTGTTCGAGGCCTAGGGCCTCGTTTTCACACAAAAACGTCGCAAAAAAAGAGTGAAATTTTTATTTCTCTATCTCGAGCTAAATAAAACATTACAAATTGGCACTTCTATCATACATAGTAACATCATTCGTCTTTACATCGATTCATTCAATTTTCCCTGGGAGTGAATGTGAACACACCAATAGATTATTCATCTCGGTACAGTTTCGGTCATTTTTGTTGTCGGGTAAAACAGGGAAAACGTTTATCTGAATTTCTCCACAAGTGCACCGATTCTGCAACTGAGACTATACCGATACCGATATTCTAGTTGCTAAATATGTAAAAATCTCTGCGGGCCTGCCTCTACTTTTTATGGGGGAAATTCGCGAACGAAGCTCAAAATCAGATATTGCATAATTTGGCGATGTTTACATCTAATGTTCTCAATAATAAATGTTTCAGAAAAATGAAACATTCAAGGCTTTGAAAGAATTTTATCTTATGAGCAATATCCCGAAGAGAAATCTCACCTCTAGCAGTCATCTTTAAAAAAAAATTGATCAACCTTCATGAAGGACTACTCGACGTAACAACAAACATATACATCAAATCGTGTGCATATCATCCAGACTCCGAATGCTGCACCTTCTTTTATGGGAATTTGAGCGATCTGAAGTCCTCTGAAGATACACTGTTATACTTGTATGTCATTTAAAACATGTTGAAGTCGGCTGATCTACACGAAACCATCCTCACACCGGTCGCCGGTCACCTCAGGGTTCAAATCTCGTATGGGCCTGAATTTTTTTCAGGTCCTATTTACAACTAGTTTTATTAGTGTTCTTAGCTGTGAGGATCTCTTAATTTCATCAATTTGAATTTGTCTGTCAATCTTCTTAGTGATGCCGGCGCTACATCTATTGCTGAGGCAAATAAGGTCAACAAGACGTTAACTAATTTGAATTTGTTTAACAGAGGTATTAGTGATACCGGTGCTACATCTATTGTTGAGGCAATCAAGGTCAACAAGACGCTAACTAGTTTGAATTTGTCTCGTAATCGTATTAGTGATACCGGTGCTACATCTATTGCTGAGGCCATCAAAGTCAATAAGACGCTAACCAATTTGGAGCTTGTCCGGCAATGATATTGCCAGTACTGCATTTGTTACTGGGCCAATCTAAGTTAGCAGGAAGCTAACCAATTGGCACTTGTCTTAGAATAGTATTAGTGATGCCGATGCTCCTTTTTACGCCGAGGCAATCAAAGTCAGCAAGACTCTGACCAATTAAGATTTGTCTAACAATGGTAACAAATGTGAGCAAAACTGTGAGTGAGTTGAACTGACTTCTGGGGGAATGATTGAAGTGACTGTACTTTTCCTTTTGTACTTTTCCTTTTAAGTAACGTTTTATAAATTTTCCCTTTTGCAGATGCAGGAAGGAGCTTTTTTAATTGTCTTTAGTTGCTCTTTGATTAGATTACATTCAAGTTATAATAGCTACCTTTGTGATGTTTTTTTAGTTTAAGGTGATGCTTATGCTTCTGAGGTATTTACATTAGACGAAAAGAAGTGTAAAACGCCATTGTTTTTAGAGTTTTGTTATGAAAGGAATATCATAAGCATGTATCATCCACGAGCAGCAATATTTTTTCCATTCTTTATAAGCCTCGAGCGCCTCTCTTTCAATATAAACCAAAGCAAAAAAAAGTTTATAGGCATTGTTTTTTATTTCTATTTCGATCTGCACAGCCATTAAATGAAATTTGACCACTGGGAGGTTCCTAAAGGGGAGGTGTGCGGGGAAAGAGGATGGGTGGGGACACAACAGGGGCGAGGTAAACAAAGTGTGCTGTGGATAACTCTTAAAGGGTAATGTATTGCCAGCGAATGCTTGTTTCCACACAGGTCTGGGGCCTAATTACGAGTTAGTAGATGTGCCATTCGGCAGGCGAGGACGCATAGCCCCAGAAATGAAGGGATGATTGTCGGTTTCCCATGCAGGAAGATCTGGATTTGTACAAATTATAGATTCTTTGCTAAAGAGACTGGCAGTTAGAGCTTGGTCAACAGATTGTAACCAAATCGTTTAAACAAATTTTATAAGGAACTCTCTGAAAGATAGAGCTGATAAAGTCTTTTCACTTATATCAGAAATAAAGACAACGGATTTGAAACGTAAACCGACATCCTCGAAGTCATATAAAAATACTTTCAAAAAATTAATAGATTCTAGAATAGAACAAGACCCAGTTGTTCAAAGGGCGGATGACGCTATCCAATGAATACATCGCTATCCAGCGGATGTGTCAACAAAGAATACTGTACCATCCATCGGATGGAGATTTATGCAGTGGTTATCGTTATCGAACAATGAGGACCAGGTGGACGACTGTTAGTTAGTGGAGTGATCTAAACAACGGCTAGTATTCACAGTTAACGATTTGGAGCACAACTCAGTAAGTGTTTTTTTTTTTCGCTGGGTTTTTAATTTCTAACAGCAAAAACATGTAAAGGAAACGAAACATCGCAAAATCTTAATGTTTCCTCAACAAAGCCATAATAGTGGGATTGGGAAGGACAGGAAATTGACTGCTGCTAAAGCAACGCTGCTATGCTCCCTCACTTTCCGTACGGATTTGGTCGAGATAATGCTAAAATACCTGTGGTGAAAGACGAAAGAAACCAGTTCTACAGGTTAATAAAGAGAACAGTGTATTAAATTAGGGTATGTAGGAATGTAGGAAAGAATTTTTTAAATAAATTCGGCGAATGGATAACAAACTTAGGTGTCAGAGTGAATGTCAACCCATCTTGCTCCCACAGTCATGAAAAGAGTTTTAGAGGCCAAACATTTTATTTACCACCGGGGGGTCCTTTTTTTCTTT